GGATTAGCTTCGATTACGACACGGAATAATCGTTAATGAATTAACAGGATTAATTTAAACATCGTGAAGCAAAGATTATATTAAATTTATAAAAAAAAATGACCATATAAAATGGATTGATTTAATGGTACAAAAAGGATTACCGTTGATTCAATTGTATGCATTAGCTGCACATATAGTGTGCAATGCACTAACTATTGGCAGGGTCTTATCTGATTGTCTAAACACAAGACTATCCATGGGATAAGCACGTTTGCACGCCAAATTTTCCAAGCACGTCCCTCTTTATTTACAAAGACACAATATGGTCAGATAATTCTCCAATTTGCTCACATTAGCCGAAATAACACGGAAAAAACAAATATGATAAAATAATCATTACATACTAATTACATTATTTTCTGCTGCATCCGCTAATACGTGACAGTATTATCATCTGTAGTTGATGACAAAATCCAATGAGAATCTGTCACTCACATGTAATATGCTGTTATGTGCACCAACTTAAATAAATGTATGTTACTATATAAAGTTACTGCCGTTTTGGGGAATTATTTTTTTTATGTTATATCAAGGCAGCATTCAAATAACATTATTCTAAACATGTTTCTCTCATAACAAACATTTTTATACCTTTAGATAAAAGAACAGATAAAAGGTGAGAGTCTAAAAATAAATACGTCTTGTGTCTGTCGGAAAACTTGAGCAATTTGAAGTTTCCGTTTGTAACAACTATTCGCTTTGGTAAGAAACTACAGAACATTTTAAGTAACGCGGCGATACCGGATGGAAACTATTGGGAAAAGGACGCAACTTTGCTGTTTAAATATTCAAGTTTTAATCCAGTGTCCGACCCTTTTTCAGACACCCTTCAGGTGTATCAGATTTCAGGACAAAACACGATTTTCCAATTATATTCAGGTATTATGGTAAATTATGCAATGTAGGATGACAAAAATATAGTATTATACTCATAATGTATTAAATATTGGCAGATGAATCTACCATCATTTGTATATTTAATGTAGTTTTTGTTTTCTTAATATTAATTTTTTTTATAAATATTTATTTATTAACGACTAGTGACGTCTTTCAATTACTTGATGTTTAACAGTTTATGAAAGTTAAGCGACGTTGCTTGACAGATGAATCTACCATCATGTCAATTACTTGATGTTTGACAGCTTATGAAAGTTAAGCAGCGTTGCTTGGCATGTGACAGATGAATCTTCCATAATTTCTTTATTTGGTATAATTTTTGTTTTCTTAATATTAAAATGTTCTATAAGGATTTGTTTATTAACGCCAAGTGACGTCTTGTAATTACTTCATATTTGACAGCTTATGAAAGTTAAGCAGCGTTGCTTAACAGATGAATCTACCATAATTTCTTTATTTGGTGTAATTTTTGTTTTCTTAATATTAAAATGTTATATAAGTATTTGTTTATTAACGCCAAGTGACATCTTTCAATTACTTGATGTTTGACAGCTTATGAAAGTTAACCAACGTTGATGGACAGATGACAGATGAATCTACCATCATTTGTTTATTTCTTGTAGTTTTTGTTTTATTAATATCAAAAATATTATATAAATATTTGTTTGTTAGGGTCAAGTGATGTCATTCAATTACTTAATGTTTGACAGCTTATAAAAGTTAAGCAGCTTTGCTTAACAGGTGAATCTATCATAATTTCTTTATTTGGTATAATTTTTGTTTTCTTAATATTAAAATGTTATATAAGTATTTGTTTATTAACGCCAAGTGACATCTTTCAATTACTTGACGTTTGACAGCTTATGAAATTTATGCAGCGTTGATTAACAGATGATATAATTTCTTCATTTCGTATAGTTTTTGTTTTCTTAATATTAAAATGCTCTATAAGTATTTGTTTATTAATGTCAAATGACGTTTTGTAATTACTTCATATTTGACAGTTTATGAAAGTTAAGCAGCGTTGTTTACAAATGAATCTACCATAATTTCATTATTTGGTGTAATTTTTGTTCTCTTAATATCAAAAATGTTATATAAGTATTTGTTTATTAACGCCAAGTGACATCTTTCAATTACTTGATGTTTGACAGCTTATGAATCTTCCATAATTTCTTTATTTCGTATAATTTTTGTTTTCTTAATATTAAAATGCTCTATAAGTATTTGTTTATTAACGTCAAGTGACGTTTTGTAATTACTTCATATTTGACAGCTTATGAAAGTTAAGCAGCGTTGCTTAACAGGTGAATCTACCATAATTTCTTTATTTGGTGTAATTTGACAGTTTATGAAACTTAAGCAACGTTGCTCGACAGATGAATCTACCATCATTTGTTTATTTCGTGTAGTTTTTGTTTTCTTAATATAGAAATTTTTGATTGAAATATGAGAACAAATCTGGAAGATGAATTACAGTTGCTTTGCTTTATCACTTTTGAAGATACATAATGCATCTTGGTAACTTCGCTGCACGATGAAGAGGGAGACTCCTACTTCCCGGAAAATCCCCCGGAAATGAGTTGAGGACACCCTCATCCTTCGCAGCACGCCAATTTCGCGTACCCAGAAATATTGCGGCAAGAAAAAAGCAAATAAACGAGACAGGCCTAAAGGAAGGACGATGATGCGCAGAGCGAAAGCAGTAAATCGGATAATTTATTACCGCCGCAGATTTTTGCCTCTCGAAAAAACAAATATTCTTGTAATCCCGACGATAGTTTACCCGTCGTTTATAGATTACGACCTATTCAATGGCCCCTATCTTCAATGGCGACGTTGTTTATGCAACTTCGGATTTACAGTTGGCAACGAGCCATCAGAATTTCACCTACTTTCCTCGCGGGAACTGAACCTGCACCACTCATTGTTGGATGCCACTAGGATTGAAGGATAATTCCAAACACGACAACAACTCATACTCTCTTCTATTTTTTGTTTTGTATTATTTTTTAATTCAACGACCGCGTTACCTCACCTCCTTCATATTTCCCACATTTTTTTTACTCAATGTCTGTTTTTTTAATCATTACTATAAACGTATATATTTTATAACCAATCCATATTGATATATTTACACTAACAAATGTATGTACAAACTATATATTAAATTACGCCAAAAGCGTAAAATTTAGTTAAATGTTTACATTTACTTTATTTTTGAACAAATATATACAAATTTCTATGTTGGATAATATCTAACATTTATATAATTATAAAGTAAATTTATCAATAATTAAACATTTACTAATGAATCTGGTAATAAACTAAAACTAAAGCAGGTTTCCAATTAAATTTATTTATATTAGTAACATTTATAATTTCATTGTTTATTTTCATAACTTACTTGACGCATTTACAGAACAGATCAATTTGTTTCCTATCATAAGTTATGTTTAATTTCTATAATATATGAATAAAATTATTGAAAATATCTGAATAATTGAATATAATATTGAGTGTAATAATTTTCTATTTTCTTTATAAATATTATTTATGAAGAATGAACATTTTTGTAGAACAAATTTCCTTATATATTTTCAGTAGATTTAACGTCGACTTTTCAGTTTATCATATGGTGGAAATGTTGCCAAGCAGGTCCACATTTAAGATGATTAATTCATTCCAGTTACGACCGTATTTATTTGTCAGCCTTTTTTGGGTCAACGATTCCAAACTTCAGTTTATTCTTCGCTGAATCTTCAATACTTTGCCAAAGTTCGTGCACTTGGAAAATTGCAATTATTTCCAATTTTTGTATAAGAGATTTCGAGTTAACCTATTTATCCCCTACAATTTATATGTTTATTAATTGTAATGCTTTAAATTAGTTTAAATTATCTTTGTTTAATTATTACCTAAGTTTATTTATATGATAATATAAAATTGCTTTGTTATATGTATTTATTTTCAATTTTAAATAAAATTTATAAAAATGTTTACAAAAAAATTAAATAAAAAAAAAATTCTAATTATTAATAATAACTATTACTAGATAGACTAAAGGTCTTTTTTTGCTTAATTTTGTACAAATTATATTGCAATACAAAAGTTTATGTTTTAACAGTAAGATTTGTAGATTTTATTTATTTGTATTAAAATGTCATACAAATAAATTTTATAAATATTTTGTATAATAAAATAATTTCTAATAGTTAAAATTCTATTAAATCTAATTAGCAAGTCGAGAATATTGCACTTCTTAAGTTTCCATGGTAACATATAGTTTCAAGTTTCGATTTCTCTTCATGTAAAAGTCTTAAATTTTATATTAGACAGTTAATGACAGAAAATATGTTTGATATTACGTTTAATAAATAATTATGTCAATGTCTCAATTCACAAATAATCTTCCAATAAATTTGTAAAGTTATAGCACGTTACTTTTTGTTAAGCTTTTAATAATGTATGTTTAGGGGAACTGCGGATCGATACATTTGGAAACGCAACCAAACAAACATTTTGGTTGAAAATGATTAGTTTATATTTAGTAGAAGATTTTAATAAAATTATAAAATGTTATGTCTATATTGTAATAATATTGTTTGTTATATAATATTGCTAAAATTGAAATATTATAATTAAATTTGAAGTAGAAAAGTAGGGAATTTATAAAATATGTTAATATGTACCAATTGATTTGATTATTGAACGTGAATTAGATTTAATTAATAATTAAATGAATATTAATATTTTTATGTAATTATTTAGAAATAGTGTTATTAAGTGTGATTGGGAGATGGCGTATTAATCGATTGATTATAGAAACTTTAGAAAACGTTACGTTATAGGTTGTTAAACTTTAATGGTATTATTATCTTAACGTTTTGGAAAGTTTCAATGGTTTATTGTAAATCGTATTGGATCGTGTGTTGTTACCAACGTGGAAGGAAATTCGTGGTGCCACCTGTTGATGAATCGCCGGATTTCAGACAATAGTTCGTGCTGTCATTGTTTGGTGTCGCCTCTGTGACAGGATTAGGGCCATTTTGGTTTCGGGAGTTTGCGCAGTCGGTGGTGTCTCATAATCCGGGAACTGTCATTGTGCAAAAGCTAAAAATTTACTCTTTTTTTTTCCGCACATTGGAAGGAAAAAAAACCCGCAACGCCAGGCGTCTGTAGTGAACGGTGTCACATCGCACGTTGCCCTTTTGTTGCCGTATAAAATTTGCGTGTCATTTTGGTCGGACCTTCTGCGGGAAGCGAGGCAAACAACTGCGAATCGCACCGGGGCCCGACGACCGGAAGAAGACTTCCATGAGAATCGACGGAATACCATAATAATAATAAAACAACAGCGAGAAAAAGGAAGAAGGAAAGAGAATAAGTAAAACAACAGCAGCTCGGCTTCTGTTCATCCACGACGAAGACGCATCCGTCGCCGTCTCCTCCTACACCCGTCTTGTGTTATTAGTGAGTGATTAGCATCGATAAAGTGGAGTCGTCTCCAAGCAAACCCACCGAAATGGCTAGTAAAAACGAGCAAGTGTTGATCATCGAGCCCGAGGCTGAGCTCAAATTCATAGGTGAGTCTCTCCAATTTTGATCCAAAAGAATTTCGAAAAGAGATCTATCATCTGATGCTGCTGCTGGTTGCTTGTCCATCCACCCGCTGCCGTCCATCCTGAGGACCCATCCAAGGACGGGAGTGGGGCTTAACCTTAAAACGATATTATTGAACGTATTATTAGCTCGGAGGCTGATTCATCGCAACCCCGACGATTCGCAATTGATGTTCCCGACCACTTGACGTTTTCGCTGCAATCGTTGTTAGCATTGCCAACTTGGCTTATCAAACATACACGAAATATCCTGAAGCCTCCTACCAAAAAAAAACAGATGCCCCCCGGTTTCCTCAACAGAAATGTGCATTGTCATTACTGTCACTGCGTGGACAGAACCACCCTCGATCGTTCCACATTGATCATAATCTGTAACCCACCTTTCTTTTTAACCCTTGTACTGACCTATATATTATTACAAAGCCATCTTGTTTCGTTCCAATAATATCAAATTATTGCGGGGCCCCTTTCTCAAAATTACCATTGCATGTGCAGTACTCCTCTGGGAGTAATTTCTCCAAATGTTCCTTCCTAAATGTCAGTTTTAGTTCATTGTCCTTGCTGACCCACTTACTATTTGCTTAGTAATGGTGTGAATTTTATAAAATCATTATTTAATTATCCTCCACTGAAATTTCCTACACCGCATTTTTACGTGTCATTCTATTGATTCCAATCGCTCGTTGCATTTACTTGGACATTTTTATTGGAACGCAAATTAGAAACAAAACATATGTTCCTTGTTTTGTACTTTAATACAAAGTGCATTATACAGACTGAATATTCTAGAAACTGCTAATAAACTATTCAACATAGGACGTCAAGTGTTATGCAATCATGATATATTTATTTACCATCATATCTAAAACTACACATGACAATTTCGTTTATAGTTTAATACCTTATTAAATATTTATTCATGTAACTATACTTATGTTATTCATATAAAATATGGTAAATCATCTTCAAATATAGAAATATGAAATTTAATAACTATAAAAAAATCAAAACTTATTTTTCTAAATTTTATTAGCAACAATGATAAACTGATTGTATTAAATTTATTGTAGTGACAGTTTTTTTTTCTGTTGGTTCATTGCGATTAAAGTATTTCTATTTGATTAAGACCAGGGGTGTCCAACTTTTTAGCTTCCCTAGGCCACACATATAATACATAAACACTAACCATAGCTGATAAGCAAAAAAATGGTATTTTTAGTGGTAAGGTTACGATTTTGTATTGTGTCACATTCATCGCCGACCTGGGCTAAAAGAGGCCCGCGGATTGTCCAAGTCTGCCTTAATCCTTTCGCCATTTAATAACTTATTGCAATTGATTAGGATTACTTTCAAATTGATTGCGTTGAAGCTTCTTTACTTCAAATTAAAACAATCTCTAAGCATACTTATTTAATTATATAATTAATATAAACTATGTAATATTAATTCTTAATAAACGATATGAATCAGGAAGTAATTGATTGGATTGTTCTAAAAACGTTGAATTGCTTCATTAATTTTTTGTAATTACTTGAAATATGCTTTGATGTAATTGTTAATCAAATTCTCGAAATATGATTATATTGTTGCTTTCGAGTCCATTCTGTTTCAATTCAATTGTTGCGAAATCTTATCTGTACGATATCGTCATATGATCGATATGTTAAAGGGTTCGAAGATTAAAGCACTAATGAATCATTATTGATTCCAGTTTATTGATGTCACATAATTATTGATTTAATTGATAGCAATGCATCATTATAATCTACAAATTAAAATAAAATTATATTTAAAAAACAATAAATTATCTTAAGTATAGGTAAACAAATGAACTGAATTTCTTATCGATAATCCCAGTTTGATTTCATTCCTATAAGTTTTAATATGTTTGAAAAGTAAACTTGATTGGTATTTTTAATTCGTGTTGTAACAGCTTGTACATTATAAACATGTTTTCGTGAAATCTTTAAAAAAAATGCATATTACTACATTATAAAATGTGTTTGTAGAATCAAAATGAAAAATAAGGTCTCATCTATCTTCATACATAATTCTTGTGAGAACTGTTTTGATCAATGGGACGCACTTAAGATGAATTGATTTATCGTTGGAGATTTATCTATGTCTACGATGTTATTTGTTTTCCTGTTTGTTTTAATCTATCTGCTTAAGAAAATATTTGCAAAGTTTAACTGATTCTGTAATCTAAACTGCATATAAAGAGAATTGTAACGTTCCAAGTATAAGCTAAATGAAATTTCATGCATTTTTAGAAATTTACATATTTTCAACTTATAACAATTTTTATTGAATTATATAGACTTTTTTATAATTATATTTTCTATAAAGGTATGCAATTATAAATATAAATTAAAGTTTTATCATTAAAACACAGATGTGTATAATTTAACTATCGTATAAAATGATAATTATTTTCATAAACAATTATAATTAGTTTTTTTTTCTAATTGATACTATTGAATAATACAGTATTATGTAAAATTATAATTTAAACAGTTTTCTACTAGTTTACTTTCTTTTGATGCCAGTTCTATTCAAATATGTAAATTCTAAAAACTTGTATTTAAATTGCTTCCACTATGATATTACGTCATCTTCATCATTATACCAATCTGACATCAGAACAGGTCTACTTTCGATGTTACATTAAATCTGTTCTTAAGTTACTTTTTTTTATTGGATTTTTGTTTATTCATTACAAGTCCGAGATGCGGTAAATATTGTTGCGAATGCTTTAAATTCTCGAACGTTGCAGAAAATTAAACGGTTTTTCTCAATCATTAACTTATCAGTTACAGCAATAACTTTTTTGCATCATTACTTTTTCTAGGAACTATATTTATCTTCTTGGCAAGTACGCGGAGAAATGAAATGTGCAAACTTATTTCAATGTAAACTTAATAACAATCTTTTGAATTATGGTTAAAATTAAGTTACTTTTTACTATTATGTAAGAATAACAGTTATATAATTCCATAAGATAATATTTACCACGGTTGTCATAAATATTTGAAATACACACTCACTTTTTGACAATTCACCGGTTTCTGTTAAACAAATAAATTTGTGGTTTTTCACTACATTTTTAATATTTATTTGAATTTATTATGAATTGTTCAAATATAAATCTGCTACTTCCTTATTTGTATTTAAAAAAAACTGTTTTATCATTATTTAAAACAAATTAAGCTATGCATTCTGTTATTAATACATTTATTGCAGCGCATTGTGTTTTGTTCAATTATATAGACAATCTTCTAAGTAACTTAAGTTATCTACGTGAGTCTTTACTCACCGAATAACAATTGTATTGTCGCATTTGCATTGTAGCAAAACAATTGTTGATTGTTATTTGAACCTCGGACATTTGAACAAATTAAATGTGTATTTCCTACATTAATCAGTAAACTTGTTTTGTTAGTTTGTAGCATAATTGTGTTTTTCTTTATATTTTTACAATCATATTTTTGAAAATCATGTTTAGGCTTCTAAAACATTTCACACGACAGAAATTAAAAAGTGATTTTGAAAAAAAAAACGGTTTCCGCATTTATCAAATATTATCACGATTATCACTCAAAGCACATTTTTTCTCTATTTCTGCATAACAAAGTTTCTCCACGTAGCCTCAAACACTTTATTGGCTGGCAATTATGCATGGTTTTAATACAATTTTAATTAATGTGCTATATTGGAAAGGTATCCTATTAACTTTGTCTTCTTTTAATTATTATATTTTAATTAGTATTTTCATACTTGAGTCGCTTCAATTACTGTTAAATAAGTTTCTAATCCTAACTTTTAGTTCCTAGATTATGGAAATTCATTTTTATTCATGTTTCAAATTAAATAATAATGAATTAGATTAGAAACAATATTATTTCAACTATAATTTTCTTTGATTATTAGTTTGCACTTTTGTGTTAATACTTGAAATAAAAACTTAATGAAGCCGATTACGTACCAGTAATTGGGATCATTAAATGCTAAAAATAATCTTTGATAGTGAAAAGTACAATAGAATTAAGCTATAAAATAAAATCTTATCTAAATTGCTGTAATGATAAATGAACAAATATTTCATTGAAATGGTCATGTATTTTGCTTTGTATAGTCCACCTTTAAGGATTATAATTTGATAATGAGAACATGCATGGAAAACTGTATAATATCTGATTATTATTTTATACTTTTTTTTCTTAACCTATCGACAATTCTTATAATTAAACGTAAATAATATTCAATTTGTTACTGAATTGATTAGTAAATGAAATGACTATTTAAATTTACAAATACAAAAATTTGTGAAAGTTGTACGTTAGTTAGTACGTTGAAGTTTTAGTGTTAAATGTCTTTAAAACACCAATAGTGTTATATACTTAGAATTTAATGCACATAGAAAATGTGTATGGTGTGTTATGCGTTCAAAGTCGACGCTGTCTTCAATTCGATGGAATTTTAATGTAAATATTTTCGTTCCGATGAGGTCAGAACGTCAATATTTCACCCGGAGAGAAAAAAAACGTGGGCCCGGTATGGATCTGACATAACACCCTATTCGTGACTTCCTTTCCTCGCTCGGGGTGTATTTATTAGGTTAGTGCAGGTGAAAATGCTGAGGGATGGACGAGTCACATTCGGTTCACGTTCCGCAATCGCGTGACTCCCCCCATTCCGAGATGCATGTATTCATAATGAAGTCGGACAGTGGAGCATTCTTAATATACCGGCGTGTAGAATGTATAACAATTAAATCCAACATTCCCATCAATTACATACGCGGCCGATGGATGGTCAGCTTTACAATTTATTTATACCATCGAGCACTGGGATTCGCACTGGTTTCCTTACTCCGCGACCATACAATGGTCGATGGTATTATTATTGACTTTCGTGCGTGTTACATAACGACACCGCCGCCGCGGTCCTAGGCAGTGGCTTAGGATCAGAATTGCAAGTTGCGCGTGTATTTATAAATGGGAACTATTTATAAAGTCTGCTTTACACGATCGAAGCCGCCGCCGTCTTCTAGCCTCTATCTCTCTCGCTCCCTCTCGATGCATATTTCTGATAAGAGCCTTCCTATAACGGCGACGCGACAGTAAACGGGGTTACCGTCAATTGGCTTATGTAGATTCACACCAAGGACGACGCTTTAATAAGAAATGTTTATTTCCTTGTCATCCTTAATGTTAGGCATTCGCACTTCGTCATCTTTCTCGAAATAACATAGAACAGCATCATCATCATCTATGTTCATTTCAGCTCTATATCAATAGCTTTCTTTATACTAGTATAATCATCATCAGACAAAAAAAGAACAATCGTTTAAAGATTTCTTATATTTCCTGGTAATTTAAATAAACGTTTCAATTTATCAACGTAGGAATGTTGCGATTGTTCAAAAAATCTTATCCTAATTTTCAATGTGAACTGCTTGAACGTGCCTACTAATTAAATATCGCTTTGAATAATAGTTTTTCATAAAATGGAAATGTATTGCATCTACAAATATGCCACAATTTGAGCAACAACAAATTGTAGTGATACAAAATAATGTTGTTATTAACATCTATGAATAGTTTTGTATATTTTTAAAAATTGTACGGATCAATGTCAAAAATAACGCATTATTTACAACAAACAAAAATAAGTATTGTTTAGACTGCAGACGTACGTTAAAGAATTTGGCGCATTTCGTGTTCTCTTATGATATATAGCTTGACACATCATTAGGATACATTACCACTATTCGCAAATTATATTTATAGAACATTACTAATGAAAAAAAAAAACTTGATTTTTCTTGAATCGTTCAAGTTAAAATAATGGTTTTTAAGTTCTACTTGATGTGGTTAAGAGTAATTGTGGATTGAATTGAGATCAAAATTATTTTCTTTTATAGCCCAATAGGTTCGAGTTTGTTACACAATTGGAGGTTATTCAAAGAATTAAATATAGTTTATACTAAATAAGTGGTCTGGAAACAAATTAAAATCTCTATCATTAAATACTTTTCAGTTTTTGTATTTCTAGGATATTACGTTTTTAATATTGTATTGCATATATACTTTGCATTAATAAGTTCATATAGAACTGATCAATTACTTGAAATATTCCGTTTTCTTTACATTAATATAATTTGTTTTTTGCAGGACCTTTCACTACTTCGAACACAATCAAAATGACGCTTACGAACCCCTCCAAAAAGACGGTCGTATTCAAAATAAAAACTACGGCACCCAAGAAGTACTGCGTCAGGCCGAATTCCGGTCTTCTGCTACCGAGCGCGAGCGTCGAATTGGGGAGTAAGTCTCATCAATAGATTTTTTTTGTTGTATTTTTCGTACTTTAATGTTCACAATTAACCAATTTCTTCTATGTATCCAGTCTGTTTGCAGCCATTCTATTATGATCCTGCCGAGAAGAACAAGCACAAGTTCATGGTGCAGAGCATGTTCGTACCCGATGGCCAAGTCAACTTGGAACAGGTATGGAAGGAATGCACACCGGAACAGCTGATGGACTCCAAGTTGAGGTGCGTCTTCGAGCTTCCGGAACCGGCAAATGCAACCGAAGAGAGCGAGACTCGTTTCAACACGTTCACCCCAACCAAGGTTCCAGCACTCGCAGCTTCAAATGAACCTGCCGTCACGCAGAATGAAGAAGGCGAACTTCAGGAAGCTGAACATGAAGTAATTACATTAAGCTAATCAATATGATATATTAGAAATTCTCACATGATGGATGACGCAATTTAGGATGCGAATAACTTAATTAAATAATACTTATTAATAGTATATCAGTCACGAAATCGATTTGCAAAACCTTTAAGTAATTAGAAATGACCACCTGGTGTATGACATCTTTATTTTAGCTCAAAAACTGAGTTTAATTTGTTATTTTCTGTGTTTTAGATCCAGAGGTTGGAGAATCACTCTCTGAAACTGGTGACCGAAAATCTGCGACTGAAAGAGATGTTGCTGAAATGCACGTGCAACAACGCGCCCGACGCGAAAAAGGCCTCATCCAAGTATGCTCCGCCTGCCGTGGAGGAGACCGAGATCCCGATGATGCGTTTCATTTTTAGTCTACTCATAGTTATCTTTGGAATCGTGATCGGCAAATACGTGCTCTGAACCCTTTCCGAAAGCCACAATCCACAGCAAAGCAGCAAAGAAAACACACAATATCCACTACTGAAAAAATTTACCATGACAGCCTGCATAACGGAAAAAATATTATTATTAAACTAGTAAAAAACGAGAATATTACAAATAAAAAAAAAGGTATAATAATATTACAAAAAAAAATAATAATATATATAAATAAATAAAACAGGAATTTCAAACGCAAAATCTGTATATTAAATAACATTTGAGTATAAATAAACAAGAAGTATATTGTATGTAAAAATAATATAATAATATTTTAAAGAAAATAATAATAACGGAATTCACTTAACAGAAGAAGAAAAACTATATGTTCATGTGCTACTCGTGTGTTAATTTCTTCTTCTCTTTATTATTTAACAATTGTATTTCATCGCGTTTCGTTTCTTTAACCGACTGGATCTTCGCTTGGTTTCGCCGTACTCTGTAGATCAGTCAAGGATCGAGCGAACGTCCGTATTTATTTGAAGATTTTATTTGGAAAATACTTGAAACGAAAGCGAGAGAATTAGTTTCCTTTTTCTTTAGTGTGCATTGAATTAGTTATGGATATGAAAAAAAAAACGAAGAACAGTGTATATTTTATTTTTTAAATTTTTCTTTGTGTAGCTCTGTATTCTTAATTTTTTGTTGTTGTTTTAATTATCTATAATTATTAATTTCTGTTTATTTTTTTTTTTTTTCGTTCAAAGGATGTGCATTTTTTCTTATTATTTTTTTTTAAATTTTAAAGTTTATGGTGTATTTAAATGAATAATAAACAATACAGAAAATTCAACAAAAAAAAACACGTATATATATATAAAATAATAATGATATAAATGATACTGTTTAAGTAGGAAGACGCACTCGCCAAGGTTAAACTAGTTTTACTATGATGAATATTTTTTTTTTATCGAACCTGAAAATATATAGATTTAACAAAGTAATAACGATTGTTGTTTTCTGTGTCGGTTTGTTCGTACGATTGCTTTTCTTTTTCTTTTAAATGTCCGAAATCTGTTGATTTAGATTTAGTACAGTTTTCTTTTATTTCATGTAGAGTTTAAGGTAAGAGTACCGAGGGGATTTAGCTGATGATAATCTGAGCTGTAAACGTGGTGAGAGGAGAAGATTGTCGTCCTCTTCCGCTTTATGGTCGGCCGCTCTTGAGGAATAATCGAGAGTGCGAAATAAAAAATAAACGGGGGGTGATAAGAGGATGATACAAAGAGGAGAGAATTATTTGACTAAGAAATCTGCGTTGTTTATGTAAATAAAGGAGGAAAAACGAGCGAATTGAAATATGAACGACTAAACGCGGTTGCAGAATTGTATTTGAAATATATTAGTGTCTCAGTCTTCTTATGCCGAACGAAGAAGTAAAATGTTTTTTTTTGCTCGCTGTGTTTGTGTGTGTATGTAATAACTTTGGTTTGTTCCTCTCTCATTATTATTTTTAATTAATTAATTTTTAAATAAAATGCATTTTCCTTTTACTATTTAATACTTCTATACAATACAAACGGAACTTGGCTTGGTGCGATTGTTTATATGTATATTATTATTATTTAACACTTAATATGTTATATGCTGTTTAGGTACTAAGTGTAATTTCATTGAATAAACTACATACATATAACAAGCAAATGACTCTTATTGATTGATTCTGTTTAATTGTATATGTAATCAATAGCACCAAAATCCATATTACCCATGTTTTTTTTTTGTTTTCCAATACCTCGCATAGTGCGGTTCCGTCAATATGTTTGTAACCTGACTAATGGAGAAACTAAATAAAATAAACCGCACTGTATAAAGTTTTACAATTTATTTTTATTTATCTCAATTAAAATATGTGATTTGAAATTTTCGAACTGAAATGTATCGAATCCGGACTATTCGAAACCGCACTTGCGAGGTATTGCTGTACAAGAAACCTTTTCCTTGTCGATTTTATTCCATTTAATTCGTAACTACCAATGGTCAAAATGACCCGTTTATTAAATGTTTAAATAAAAATAGAACAAAATATAAATGTTTACAAAAAACACTAATTATTTAATGAATTTGATATTATTTAAAACTTATTTTATTGCCCAAAACAGTCTGGACAATCTCGTTTTTGAGTAAGTGATACAAATTGGTCTTTCCTATATGTTACAAAACGTTGCTGTTTTATTGTCGCTCTTGCTTGGACAAAAACAAACTCCCATAATTAAATTACAATAAAATGTGAATGAAAACAAATATCATGTGGGTCATTCAGACCCATTCGTAGTACCTAAATTATCCGAAAATTGTAATTAATATGAATTTATTTTTGTTCTTTGTAAACAGTACAAAATTCATTTCGTACTTTCCACCTTTGATACATATTAGGGCCAATAAAATAAGGCTGGACAATCTCTTTTTTGAGTAAGTGATACAAATTGGTCTTTTGTGTATGTCACAAAACGTTGCTGTTTTATTGTTGTTTATGCTTGGACAAAAACAAACTCCCATAATTAAATTACAATATAATGCGAATGAAGACAAATATTAGGTGGGTCATTCTGACCCATCCGTAGTACTTAAACTATCCAGAAATTGTAATCTACAATAATGATTGATTCTATTTGTTAGTTTTTACTAATATAATTTCTTTTAAACAAGTTCATGAAATGTCTTTGTACAGTTTTCTCTGATTGGATCAACTAACTTTGTAAATATGATGTGATTGTATATATATATATAATTGATCGTACTGCGTATAAAATAGCACGGATCGATGTGTGCTATGAAGGCCGGAAATAATGGAGACGTATTCCCCTTAATATCTGTGAAACATGGATTTCCACCGAAAGAAATAAAACAGTGTGATTTATGATGTCAAATCATCATCAAATTTTAACAAGCCATAATTCCTAACATTTCAGTAATATTGTTGTTATTATTAATATAGTGTATTAACGAACTAGAGACATCCACGGCGTCTCTTAGTCGGCTTATAAACATATACATCAGCATAAAGGAATTTCCACTGTGATCCCAATTCGATACACTTAATATAAATAAAGGGGACCAAGCGTAAACATTCCCATTGATACTCCTATACCTTTACTCCGAATTCAAGTTCTTATTATAAACACATAATAATCATTACACGTACAATCGTAATCAATCATCTCTTACATATATACAAATACATAGGATTTTGTCCCGGTCTTATAATAAACAAAACCATCAACGCTAAATCCCGTGGGAACACTTAATCATCAATATATACAAACCCTACTCCCGATCACAACTCCCACACCGTATTAATAAGAATTAACTTTGTAAGTAGAATTAGTATTTAGAATTAGTCTCATAAAAACCTAAGACGACAATAGTCTCAGTAAAACCTTCAAAGACGAATATATTTTCAACGGATAACCAAGTAAGGAATAAAGTTATGTAAAACCAAACGAATTTCATTAGATTCCCAACAACTGAGATTCCACAACGACAACACCAAACAATATTCCACTGTGTCCAGAATTCCATCCCTGGGACACGACAATATTAACTTTAATTCTTATATTAAATTGCTACATCAACAATCTATGGTTCAAAAATCCAATGTATTTGTATGAAAATATACATTTACTCTATGTTATTTGTCTTATTACCTTTGTTAAATATAATAATTTTGTATTCTAATATAACATATTTATTATTTTTAAGTACATGATAACAATTGACCAATTACACTGTGTCTACTATGTCGTGTCCCAGGGATGGAATTCTGGACACAGTAGAATATTGTCTGGTGTTGTCGTTGTGGAGTCTCAGTAGTTGGGAATTAAATAATTCAATTGGTTTAAAACAAATTTATTATAATTGGTACTCTTGGGGTCCTTTTCCAAGACAAGGTAATTACTTCAATAGGTTGACTAAAACTCTATCTGTTTTTGAAGGTTTTACTGAGACTAATTCTAAATAGTTATTCTACTTCCAAAGTTAATTCTTATTAATACAGGGTGGGAGTTGTGATCGGGAGTAGGGTTTCATTATATTGATGACTAAGCGTTCCCACGGGAATCGGCCTCGGTGGTTTTGTTTATTATAAGACCGGGACAAATTCCTATGCATTTCTTTATATGAAAAAGATGATCAATTACGATTGTACATGTAACGATCTTTATGTGTTTATAATAAGGACTTGAATTCGGTATAAGGGTATAGGAGTATCGATGAGAACGTTTATATTAAAGTGTATCGAACTGGAATCAACGTAGAGATTCGTTTATGCTAATGTTTATATAATAATGCGACTAAGAGACGCTTTGGATGTCTCTAGTTCGTTAATACACTATGCTAATAATAACAATTACAATAATAATGGTTGGACACAACAACTAATTCATGATAATTTAAACATTAAATATGAAATAAAAAAAATAGTCTTAATGATTGATGATAAATGTATTCATATAAATTTCATATAAATGTATTACACATTTTAAGGGCGCAAAGACAGCGCCTTTTGTATGTATGCAGAAAGATTTAGGATTTATGTGTGTTTTGAATATAAATAATAATTTCATGACAACTAGATTATAATAATTTGATAATTAGGTTTTAATTGGAGAGTTAAAAATAGTATAGAATTCGGTTGCATATATGATTGTATCTCTCTCTATATATATATATATTAATAGAGACAATTATAGAACATATTTTGTTTGTTGTTTTCTGTTGACAGCTGATTTATGAGTGGTGGCAGCACTGGCTATTAAAAACACCGCAGAAACTGTCAAAGTTGGACGAAATCTGCGGCGAAAGAATCTTCTCAGCGGTAGAGGAAGGAATTTTTTGGTTGGTGCCGTTCGTGTTTGTGCAAGTTTTACAAGGAAGGATTTTTCTGGATCATCATCATGGGAGACGGCAACGAAGGCGAGAAGCAGCCGCTCCTGAAGGACAAGAAGGCCAAACACAACGGGGACACCGATAGTACGTGATACATCTTTGTCTCTAACAAAACTGTGACTCATCTCCACTGCATCACATACTATTATCAATAAATGAACTAATAATGTTTAATATTCACTAACATTTTTCAACAGCCAACCAGACTACGACTGTCTCACCAATCGGTCCAGATGAACTGCCACCAGCCTTTTACCAGAGTCCTCCTGGTGCTGGTACCCCTATGGTCACTTGCAGAGTGTGCCAGGCCATGATTGATATATCCGGCAAGAGGGATCAGCATGTCGTTAAATGCTGCCAATGCAATGAAGCAACTGTAAGTGGTGATGAAATATGCATATTTTTTTTAATTGATAATACTAATTTCAATTTGCAGCCAATCAGAAATGCTCCACCTGGAAAGAAATATGTTAGGTGTCCATGCAATTGCCTCTTGATTTGCAAGAGCTCTTCTCAGAGGATTGCTTGCCCCAGGCCCAATTGCAAGAGGATCATCAATTTGGCCCCATCACCTGTTACACCTCCAGTTCCATCTATGCCAGGCATGTGCAGAGTGACTTGTGGCCATTGTCATGACACTTTCTTGGTAATTATCTTTTGGCCACTGATACTGACATTATCTTAATGTATCTCTCTTTTTGCAGTTTAATACATTAAATAACGCCCTAGCTAGATGTCCGCACTGCCGAAAGGTGTCGAGCGTGGGTCCGGATTACTCGAAGGGACGTGGTAATGTTTTTATAACTTTGAGTTTAATTTTCTTGGCCATCGGCGTCGGCGTGACGGCCGGGACGTACATGTACGCCCGCAATCACAGCGGAATCTACGTTGCGTACGTCGGTGCTTTCATAATTGCCATACTTCTTTTCTTGCGAAGTATCTACTATTACACTATGAAAGTGAGCGCTATAGATGGACCAATGTAAGTGGTGCAGTGCAGACAAATACGGGGCAAAGATATATTGTGTTAAAAGATTAAAAAAAAAAAACTTAGGTGTAGCTTGTAGAATTTTATATTTACTACCTAAATGTAAGGATAAAAAAATATGCTATGCGGAAAGCCTTCATATATATATTCACTAGGTGATTTTTTTATTCAATTAATTAGTTTATGTTTACTACATATAAGCTTTACAACTTCCTTTTCCCCAATTTACAAACAACTCATATTATTATTTTTTAATTTGCACATATCTATATATTTTTTTATCGGATTCGCTTTTAAATAAATTATTATTATTATTACTATTATTTTCTAGTGATTGTATAGCAAAGAAATATATGTTTATCGATTGAGAATTTATGTTGTTATTTTCTTTCGCCGCAAAAGTAAAATTCTACAAGCGACCACCGATGGCTGTGTGCACTCTATGCTAATACTTGGTTTAATGTTGGACGCGTCTCCCGAAGTGCACGAATTTCTATTATAATATTATTATTTTTTTTTGCTATTACGATTTACTATACTATCTTCATCATTAGAAAATACTATATATACATACACATGCGAGGTGATTGATTTGGAAACGCAATTCGATCAAAACCCGAAGAATGGTATATTTTTATTATCTGCATCGGAAATGAATGATTTTGGACAAAGTACAGTATGTGATAAAAACCATTGGCATGGAGGAGGAGAGAAGCAACTATAATTGAAAATATAACCAACTAATCGAATCTTGACTCGTACAATATTCTAAAAGAATGAATTAAATAATAATTGGCAATTAGGCAACTGAAAGTGCATTGTATTCTAATTAAGCGAGAAAACACGAATCAAAGCAACAGTAACTTTTATATACTCGATAAAATTACTAAGACTTGATTCCTCGTATAGAAAACGAACAATAAATGTGCTTTAATTAAACAAAATTGTAGCGTTTCATTACTATTATTATATTTAATTGAAAGCATTGAATTTCGTTGCTGAACCGATAATAATGATGAAAGTATCAAATTTTGCGATGTTTATTATTAAAACCATGACACACAACAAAACCAAATGTACGAGCTTAGCAGATTTTTTACACCTCGTCGGTGATGATGATTATTAATATTCGTTTTCTTATGATATATTATATTAATCTTTGCGTTTAGTTATAACATGAAATTATATATGCCACATTCCGTAAATGGAAATTTCTTTCTTAATTTTTTTTTTGTAGTTTGACTGATTTTTTTTTAATTATCACTTGTGTTGTTTCTGTTTCGTTCTTTTTTTTTTTTGATCTTAAGATTGGAACCACTTTTGTGATTTGTATATAAGAATAAATAAACCAAAAAAAAAAAACATAAATTAATAAATAAATAAAATGTAACAAATTTGTATGGACAGATTCTATATGTATAATATCGTGCGGGGGAGTTTAGTATTGTGTATTCAAACAACATTTTTTTTTGTAACATTACTCTGTATAACTATGTAAGATCAAATGTGATCGATGAAATATATTGTACAATATTTTTCATGACTTCATTTCATTTTTTACTCATTTAAAAGTTAAGAAAAAATATGGGACATATAGTGGTCAGTTAACGAACTATTCGGATTACGATCGCTTTTTCAAAACACGCTAAAGATTTTTTGTGTTCAAACAATATAATCCATATATACAGGGTGACCCAATTGAACTGCAATCAACTTAAAACTGCTATAACTTTCGAACCGCTGGCAACGCTGTGTCCATATTTCGCCTAATGATAGCTGATTTTGTTGTTTACAAGCCTGGGGAAGCATTTGCATCTCAGTTTTTTTAGAAAAAAAATATCCGTGATAGAATTCAAACGTAATAGTGTGATAGCCCAATATTTGAGCAGAAAACCGAAAGTGGCTATTGTTAGAGCCCTCGGAATAGTTTAATGTGAATAAATCTTTTGTGTCTCGAACCATAACAAGTAATTGTATTGAACTTTCTACTTCTGGAAGCTAACGCTAGTGGTGTTATGAAACTTAAAACACTTCTTAAATCGATGATAGGTTAACGAACAATTCATGTAGTTTTTGAATGTATTTTGTTAACTGTATATCGTACACTTTTCGACTTTGTACTATGAAACAGTATTCATATTTGATCAGTATATTTTCAAATAAGTTAGATCCAGATCCAGGTAAGTATGATGATTATAAGAATGTGGACACTTATTAAAGTAATTCAAATTGCTACTGCTCATAATCATGAAGTAATCATTTAACTCTTTAAGGGGCGTTGGTACACGCATTGTGTCACCTTTTGAACATACCTAGTAGTGGGGCTTTATTATAATTTTCTAGAAAATGTACAGAAAAAGAAGAATTACCCTTTAATTTGATTGGTATGTCAAGGTATGAATTTTTATAGTCTGATCCCGAAAAACCTGATACTTACAATTTGTGGGGGCTGATAAACCCGAAAAGGGGTAGAAATAGAGCCAAAGAGAATTTAATCAATAACAATTTGGTATAAATCTCTTTATTAAAAAAAATATAATAAAAAGTTGTCTGATTCAGTTGTCTAGAAATTTGTTTGTAGGAGCGTTTCTCAACTTGTTTGTTGCGCGACCCAACATATTTGTTTGTACTTGTATTGTGTGACACAATCACCAATTCCTCGATTTGACACATCGTGACAGCTGTCATTTATCATAGGTTGAGAAACGCTGCTCTATAGTTTTGAGTCATTAAACTGTTAAATACAAAACTGTTGATGTACTTGGACTTAACATCAATTAACATTACTTTTTTTAATAAAAATTTATTGTGTTAATGACATTATATACAATTATTTACAATTTGATAATTATATTTCGATTTTGAAATGTAATTATTGCATTTATATAAAAAATAAAATACGAAGAATTTCATCTTATACTTTTATTGATGTCCCCAAGATTCCTCCTACACCAATATAAATTAGTGATTGAATTATATATGAGCATTTTCGTAGACACATTAGTCTGCGTTAAACCCCAGCTTTTAAATTATTCTCTACAAAATTAGTCTTGCACTTAAATTATCCACGAGCTGAAATTCTGGGGTTGAAAATTACGTTGACGATGGTTTTTTAATGAAGATACACCTAATTCGTTTGCTGCATAAAAAAATGTTTACAGTGCAAATGAAGACGAATGAGACATTATTTAAAATAAATTGAATTTATAATATAACTATTTTCTAAATGCTTTTTTATGGATTAATATAAAAAATTAAAAAATATCAAATGCTTATTTTCTTGGAGGATTTAAAGAAGTGCAAAATAGAGAAATTTGCTGCATACTTATTATTAGTATTAGTGCAATAATATTTAAATGTAAGAAACTACTGAATCTTTTATAAATTACATCTTAAATACGTTTAAATCTAAACTAAAATGAGCTAAAAAAAAGACTAAACAGAAAAATTATTTTCATTCAACTATGAACTAGTTTGTGGTCAATATATGTTGTGTATTAAGATTTAGTAACTTTCAATTTTAAAATTAAGAATCGATTTAATAAATGAGATTTTAAAATATTCAAGAAATGTGCTAGTTTCAATTATTTACCTCTCCAAGTTTTAGCGTAGTTAATGGGATATTTTTAAAATTCATGCATTCTAAAGCTTTTAGTGTAAATTTTAAATTTGAATGATGATTCATTTGTAGAAGTCTAATCCAAAATTTGAGATTAATCATTTTAGAGTTTACATCATAGTCAGCTGTAAGATTGTGACTGTTCAATTAGTATAATGACAATTGAACTGTGGCTTAAGTTGTGACTAGGAGACGGAGTTTGTTATTGATCATTTGTTGTGTCATCGATTGTCATCATCGTCATCATAATGTCGACATCAAAATTGTTAGTGATGCAAGAGCAGTTCGTGCTGTTCTCGAAGTTCGGGGATCCAAGGTCTGATGGAAGAACGATCACGCTGACCCAGAGCGACAAGTGGATGAAGCAGGCCCTGGTGCTGGACGGCAAGAAGGTCACCCTCACCGATACCGGAGTCTGCTTCAACAAATTCAAGTAGACATTCAGACTTTGTGAATTCTCGTAAAACGACAACATCATCAACAAACCAAGGTTTCTGATTTCAGATCTCGGACAATAAACTATCAGGACTTCATGCGATATATCGACGATTTGGCCAAGGAGAAGGGTATGGACACGGATGAGCTGAAGCATATGATGCTGACGTGCGGACCTCCCGGTACCAGCAAGATCACGTCTGGAGCCGTGGCCGGATCAAAGACGGAAGTCCACAAGAGCTAGAGGAAGGAATCTCGGCAAGGATGGATCTCTTTTCTAGGTCAATAAATAGCCTATAGCTGGAAATAGGAACGCGATAAAGTGCGTGTAAGGCGCGCAGGACCGACGCCGATGGTTTCCGTTCGTTCGCTCAGCGTTGTTAGTTCGTTCATGTTCACGCGATTTAGTGGAATCCGCGACGCGAATTAGTTAACAGACAAAAAAAATACATACACAAGCTACAAGGTAAGATATTTACTTACTAATCTTTACATTTTGCGATAACCAACAATTATATTTAACCATTGCTGAACCAGATAAGAACACTCAAACTTCTCGAAAACAAACAAAGCAATAATAGCTGAAAATTAAATATTTGCTTTTAATTCAATGTAAAACATTAATCTTATGAAGTAAATAATAATATTTACCAAAACATATAGAAAAACTTCGATTGAATTGATATAAAAACATATACAGTGAAACCTCGCTTAACGAGCATCTCACATAATGAGCATTTCGCTTAACGAGCAAAATTAATTGTAAGAAAAATGACTCGTTTCGTATAACGAGTGATGATGAGAAGAGAAGTCCCAGATTGCGCGCCTTCTACATCATTTTTATATGTTTCAATATATGAGTAAAAATCCGGAAATAAATATAAATTTGCAATATAAATGTGGTGTGTATCTTTCAAACTAAAAAGAAATATGATAATTTTTGTTACTTAAAATTGATGTTAAAACAAACTCGTAAGTCTAAACTAATTGAAAGTAATTAAAATTATGTAAATTTTATTTTGTTTTGCTTGATTCGCATTTATTTTTTGTGCTTCCGTAATATCCGCATCAGAAGGATGACTCATCCCGGATGAAAATAGGAAGGAAATGAATTTGAAATTACTTAGGGTAGGGCCAGAAAGCGAGAGGGGTGGGACGAAGTTATTAGGCGCGAAACATTAAAATCCGGTCACCCGAAATGCGAGTGTGAGCAAACACACGCACGCAGAAAAAGGACAACGAATAAATAACAACAAAAAAAACGACAATTGAAAAGCATGACATCATCGATAATAAATTAAAAAAATAGACGTCGTTAATCAACGTTTAGATAAAGTGTGCATATTCGAAATGTCAATGTTGCGGACACATATTTTTTTTTATATGTATATATAATTCGTGTTACAATTTCCTTATACATATGCACTACTGTTTTTTTTTTGTTTCAATTTGAATCACCTAAATCTGTATTTGGGGACTGTTGTTTAATAAGTAGAGAATTATAAATTATTGTTTTTTTTCTTTGTTACAATTTGAAACGTTCAATTCTGTATTTGGATCTGTCGTTTATTAAGTATAGAATTCTAAATAAATTCTTACATTTTTTTTTCTCTGCACTTTGATTAATTAAATCATTTTTATACACTTATGTAATTCAAAATAAATTCTTCCTGTTTTTCATTTCGATTGAATTTTGCAGTCGATTTTTTTTGTCAATTTTGAATTATTCAAGATATTTTTCTTTTCAAACTGAATCATTTGAAATCGTTGTTTAATAACTTTTCAAAAGAAATTCTGTTCTGTTAAATTTGAAACTGTCGTTTGATAAATATGAAATTCACAATACATATTTTTTCTTTTCAACTTAATCATTTCATTCTGTATTTATTATGGAACTGTCATAAGTAGAGATATTTCAATAAATTCTTATCAATCTTTGAATAATTGAAATTATTTTCAATATTTACTTTTTTCACATAAAGAAACAACATTTTGATATTTCTTTAATAAGTTTGGAAAATTCTAATTGAATTCACACAATGAACCCTGCAAATTAATTCGTGAAGGCATTTTGTCAATTGAGAATTAAAGCTTCAGAAATACTTTTTTCACATAAAGAAACAACATTTGGATCTTTCCTTAATAAGTTTGGAAAACTCTAAATGAATTCTCATAAAGAGCGCTGCAAATTAATTCGTGAAGGCATTTTGTCAATTGAGAATTAAAGCTTCAGAAATACTTTTTTAACATAAAAAACAACATATTCTCACGATTTATGTAAATATGTACTTATTCCATTTATTCAATCTATTTGTAATTATATAACATAACATCTTTCAATAACTTAACTTTATTACTGTACTAAATTCGTGTATAAATATAAAATTTAAAAGTGAATAAAAATTAGAAAAGAGAAAAGTTTAAATACTTAACTTTCCTCTTTTCTAATTAAAACGGAATTGAAATAAATGAATTAAAGTAATTGAATTTAATTAGAAAATATGTAAATATTACGTCTCCATTTTTTATTCACATTATATCGTTTAATTATGATTTTTTTTTGTTAGATATATCTAGAATTTATTTAAGCTCATGAAACTGTGTCAAATATTATCTGATATTTCTGTTCGATGAGTCCCTCATCTCTACAAATTCTCATAAAACACTCAAATTTAATGTTAGGTATTATGTCATGGGATGAAAATAAACGCGCGATGATGAACTATCTCTCCTTCTTTCTCTTTGGCATCATATGTGTACACATGCATATATCTTCGTGTTGCTGCTTTTTTTTTTTTTGTTTTGTCCTTTCTCTCTATATATTTTCTCGTCTCCCCTCTATATAAATATCTTCTTTCTTTTTTCTTCACGCACATGCAAACAATTTTTGTTTAATGTGCCAGAAGCTTGCATGCGCATGTTAATCGATCGTCCGTCGTCCCCGTTTCGAACGGTACAATGGACAAGTGTAATTAAAATTTGCTCAGAAACTTACGGAATTACATCACAGCACGAATAATTCGGAGCGTAGATTGGTTATTGTGTACTTTTTACTGGGTCAATGATGTAATAATTGATGTTTACAAACTCAAAAACTTACCAATAAATAATAGATATAAGATGTAAAGGGAGCTGCAAAACGAGAAGAAGGTAAAAGTAAATTGTTGGAAATTATTTGTTATTGAAGATATTGGAATTATGTATCTTTTAATTGATTTATTAGCTTAATTTTTACCCTTTGATACCTGACCATAGTTAAAATAAAGAAATTAAAATGTTTCTTTTGATTTCTATTAAAACACATTAAAATAAAGTTGCCTATAAATTTTTATTAAATCGTATAATAAGTGAATTATAGTGATTTAGATTACAAAAAACGGATCAATTTTCATATATATATATATATTTAGTAATAATATTATTATATAAACTTATTTCATGGTAATCTGCTATACAATGTTTATTTTCGTTACAACATAAAAACATCTGTACAGAAGTGACAAGTATTACTTGAATGTAGGTTTATACTAACTTGGTGTTTCCAATTGCAAAGCAAATCATTTAGTATAGAATATAAAGATTACATTTAAGTACCAACAAGTATTTAAGTCTGCTTCATATATCTTGATAATTTAAATAGTGACATAAATGTGTCGGTCAAAGGGTTAAAGAAAAATTAGAGAAAATAGTAATTATGAATAAACTTTAAGGAGTTTAAGACTTTATAGAAGATTATCCCTCAAAATTATCTTTGATTATTTTGAATTTTATGTAATACTAATTCAAAAGTATACTTCATAATAATTTTTATAACATTCATGATTCTTCACTATTTATCTACACGCCGTCTATTGAAAGTAATTAAAGATTGTATTTTTTATTAATAGAAATAATTAGTAAGTATTTCAATACATAAAATCTATTAATTTCAAAATACTTAAAAATAAATATAAATGTTAGTAAAAGAAAGATTATCATTTTACGAACCAGTTTTGCTAAATCAGAGTTATTCAACCTTTTTCAACTTACTACACACTTAAACCTATAGTTAAACTTCCGCGACACACTTAAATTATAATTTTGTTTTTTTCATTTCTAGACTTATTGAGCTCTGTACTTCTTGGGATTATAATTTAAAAATATTACTCAGTGCACCGGTTGAAAATCTAAATTCTAAATCATGATCTTGTCTGAAATTAGATTAATTCAATACTGTTATTAGGTCTTAAAGAATGAACGTGAAGAACGATTGTGAACTAAAAATTTGGTTTATTATATCTCAAAGTACAAGAAGTAGTATAATTAACCATAGTATGTGTCAAAGGCGTTTTTTACAGTTCTGCTAACCTTACTGATATTTCACTTGTAGTTTGAGGTGTATTCGCTTCCACTGCAGCATTCACTTCATAATTTTGAAGATCAAAATCTCCAGACCTAATCTTTTGAAACTAGCTACGTACTGTGCGTTCACTAGCCTTATCCTTGCCTAAAACTTCATTGATACTTTGAGTTCACTGCGCTGCATTGGTATTTGATAGAACTCGTATTTGAAAAATAAAACGCTAATTTGACGCAATTTGAGAGATAATCACAAACCGAAACGTATAAGATTGATGAAGTACCTTTGCAATAAAGAAGAACTGTTAAAGTAAAATATCGGAGATATTGGGTATAAAAATTGATACTTCGGACATTTCATGCTTAATCTAGATTATCAGAATCAAGAAAAAATGTTATATTTTTGTAAATTGGTATAATCTATTGCATGTCACGTAGTAATAAAAGCTGCATAATAAATGGGAGAGCTTTAGAAATGTGGCATTGATGGATTAAATGGACGAAATGAAAGAAATAATCTCATAGTAATTCGCTTGAGTGATTAAGAGTAAATCAGATTAAAGTCTTTGAAATCGTCTAGGAAAATTGATATTCATAATTTAATTACTTTCATTTTCATTGTAAATAAAAATATTTATTGTAGTTAAAAAATAATCATGACCAAATTGTTTACTTTTAACATCTTGTGTTTTATAATAATCAAATACAAATCATTAAATCTTAAAAAAAATATATAATTGTTATGAAGATTTGGGGTCATTGAGATATTACTTTCTACTAAATTTATTGCTATATGTGTGACACTTAAGTTGTTGTTGTTATACGTCTGTTTCTTTTCGTAACTTTCTTTGCCTTTTCAATTTGAAGGTACAACATCTATTTTCTTATTTGCGAAGTATCTTTTCAATTAGAATCTTAACACTTAACAGTTTTCCAATGTTGATTTAAATGTATTGAAATACCCGTATAAAAAGGTATTCTGTTTCTAAGCTTAAGAGTTTAACAGAAAATCATGAATCATAAATATGATTTAAAAATTAGTATTTGTAAGAACTAAAGTTTTTGTTAATAATTCTATTTTTAATATGAAAGAAGAAAAATTGAGTAGCAAAAAATATTGTGAAAAATAAACAGAATCAATGTATGTTACAAAACTACTGGAATCATCGTTTGTTCATCGATCGTTCAAACAGATTACACACAAGAGGACAACGGAAAGCGAAGCAGTTTATCGCAATCGTCGACAGTTCCCCTCCTTAGACAATTATAATGGGATTCGATGCAACATCTCCCTTTGCTCTCACTATTTTTAGAGCAATCAATAAAACCCGAGCATTTTTATTCCTCTGCATGTAATAAATATCGTTCTCCTATATTTCCAACACATTTTTTCATTTTCATGCTTCGTATGAGATTTTGCAATGTATTTTTGAAGCGCCTTAAACTAAACTCTTGTTATAAATAAGCCAGAAGCTTCGGCGTTTCCGTAAATATTTACAATCATTCTAATACGAAACGTTTGAAAACCAATGAAAACATATATTAAACACTAAATACAGTGGTCGATTAGTTAACGAACGTACATCTTGACGTTACTTTTTGAAGCTGGAGGTGATATTAAACTTAAGACGCTTATTAAATCGATTTTCGGTTTACGAACAATTCGGTTAACGAACATCATCTTTAAAGGGATTACTTTTGTAGAACTTTGTTGTGAATTGAAAACTTCGTATATTCGTGTTTTTTTTATAAAACGTTAATTTGTGAAAAGTTAAACATTACATTATTATTATTATTGTTATCGTCGACCGCAGCCGTTGTTTATCTATTGATACCAGATTTATCTTTCCATTAGCTACATACATAATTATAGATAAAGTCATTTTATTTGTTTATCAACGCTGTTGCCTAATTACTACAACGATATTTTTCTCTTATTGTTTTAATTATATTGGTTCACCTTGTTTATTTATAACTTAGTTTTTGTTATATCAAGATAAAAAAGAAATTCGAAATATAAGTTATAGTGTGTACATAATTATACAATTTTCAACTGTATATTATTGCAATTTTCGTTTAAAATATTTAGAAAATACACAATAGTTTGCGTATGCGTTTAATTCTCACTTTTTAACAATTTATATGACTGAAGAAACGTTTTTTGAGTGCTAAAGTTGCAAAATTCTTGAGCTAACTTGGTTGCGAAATAGTCTCTCTTTATAACGAATATTCTGGTTTAAATGTGTCATTACGAGAACAAATTATACAACAAATTCATTGTTGAGTAACCAAATTATAGCTAAATATTCACTCTTTATAAAAAGTGCTATAATTATATCATTTAGTCGTAATACACTGTCAAACTCAAAGAAACGTTTATGGAAGTTTCTTTATATTTTTGCTTAAATCGCGAAAAGTATGAGCGAGAAATCGATTGCTGAGCAATTAAATTAAATCTAAATATTTAGTGTATCGTTTGTCATTTAGCCATAATTCTCTTGTTTAACTAGAAAAAAAGTTTATGTAAGTTTTAAAAAATCAGTTTCTTTCCATTTTTGTTTATATCTCTAAAAGTATGTGCTACACATGTAATATTGAGCAACCAAATTAAAACTAAATATGTGTGAACTGGTATTGTATCGTTTTTCATTTAGCCGAAATTTACTGTCAAACTTGAAGAAACTTGTATGTTTAAGTACATTTTCTTATAACATATTCAAAATTGAACACAATGTTTCAAACATTTACACCAGACAATAAAAAATATTAATTAACTATTGAAAAAGCTATATTCCTTTTTATTTAATGAATTAATATTAATCTATGTATTGATACTACTTTATATTTTGTATCAGATTTTCATATTTTTGGTTACACAATTTCAAGGATTAATAAAAAATATCAACATTCAATAAATTTAAAAATTAGTCACTTTATTCAAATCTGAGTACAATCAGCATATTTGAATAATTAGAAATGAGATGTTTCATTCATAATAGGTAATAAATTATGAGTTTCTTCATCGGAACAATCAATAAAATCCTATATATTCTTAAACTTTTTCTTGTTATTTATCGCTGTTTCTTTCTATAACTTCTTTTGGCTCTTCACCAACTAGTTTCTTATCTGTTTTTCAACTAGAGCCTTTGGATAATTTATGTTTTACAGTTTTTTTTTTATATTTTCGTAGTAACAGTTACCAAAACTTAATTTTAAATGAATGTACTGGAGCTCCTTTTGTCTCCTAATTACAGTTAATTGTATCAATTACTTTTGTAATTGATCAATATGTTTTTTTAAATAAACGTTTATATAAATAGCAATTGAGCAATCTCTTAATTCGATGATGTCAATGCTTTCTCTATGATATCATTTGATTGAGAACTTAATGAGTTTTATGTGCGAGCAATATCAATGCCAACTACGATAATAATAATAATTATATAACGAATTCGAATTTATATTTTTAAGGTCAAGCTTGTTACCACCTATTGCAGCAGCAAGAATCATCGCTATTAATAGGAAGTTGCGTTTTAACTCCATACTGAATAACAATTTTACTTGAGGATAGAAAAGCAATGTTCTTTTTTTGTATGGAGAAAAAAGAAACGCTTGCGTTTAAAAATAACCTTCTCAATATTCATCGAGTATCACTTCTATTTCTAGAATTATGAATTCGTGCTTCGGGTGATAAGAATATATATTTCTTCATATTACTTATGATTTTTTTTTTATTCTATTCGAACGTTGTTTATTTGCTTTTTAAAGTGAAATATTAATAGTATCAATGATGATTTTTGTTACTTATGTAGTTTAATGGTGAAGAAATTCGTTCGTTTCGTAACACTGAAATTGCTTCGTGAATTTCCCAATCTCGCTGATACTGATTGAATTTTGTTCGTTCCAGAATCATGGAAGCGGAAAATTCAACGATGACTTTCGAGGAGGCCTTCAAGGCGTTCTCCAAATTCGGTGACATCAAATCCGACGGAAAGAGCATCTCCCTTTCCCAAAGCGATAAATGGATGAAGCAGGCGAAAGTGATCGACGGCAAGACCATCACCACCACCGACACCGGCATCTACTTCAAGAAGCTAAAGTCCCTGAAGGTTTCCCTTCCCGATTACAACAAATTCCTGGAGGATTTGGCCAAGGCGAAGAAGCAGACCGTCGAAGACATGAAGACGAAGATGACTTCGTGCGGAGCTCCAGGTTTCAGCGGAACCGGCGTAAGTTAATTACATGATATTGCCTTCTTTACTAAAACTTTGTAACACGACGGGTGAGATCGTCTGCTTCCGGTTGGGCGTGTGTCCCTGACGTGGGAAAGTTCTGGGCGCCATTTCCTTTTGTTGAGACGAAGAATTTGCTCTCCTCAAAGCAGCAAACTTCTTCTCCTACAATAGGCCTTGGCTCCTCTAGAGCACCAACACAGTCTTCTTGGAGCACACTTATCTACCGGAGCCCTTCGCGGTTCCAGACTCACACTAATATATAAATCTCTTCTCTACTGCAGACCTCAACCGTCTTCTTTCACGGTTCGATCTGATCTCTCCGCAATTCTGGAGTGATAATTGTACGAAGGATCGTAGTTTACAATGTTGATAACTTTACAACGTTACAACTTAATTACTAATGTTAAATAATTTTTTAGGTGGCCAAAGGCAACAGCACCGTTAACAGGTTGACAGACACCTCGAAGTACACCGGAACCCACAAGCAGCGCTTCGACGATTCCGGAAAGGGCAAAGGCATCGCCGGAAGAGTGGAGCAGGTCGACGGTTCCGGTTACGTTTCCGGATACCAGAACAAAGACTCCTTCGGCAAAGCCTAAACGATTTACACGAATAGTGCACAAACCGAATTTTGTTAAGTGCGGATGAGAGTTTGAGAACGTGGATGTTTTCAAAATTTATATTTTTAGGTGGAATTGTATAAAAGAGAATATGTATACAACGTTTGGGGGGATGCAGCTTTAACGCCTACTATTTAACTACTTTACTTTTAAATCTTAAAGCTTTGTCAATTTTTTCAGTAGACTGCGTTTGTAAATTCAAATTTTTCAATAATAAATTAAGCAATTTGAACACATTTAGATTATGATAGTTTGTCTGCACTGAGGATTAGTTATTTTGTAATCCTCGTTTCACGTAGATTTATTTATTGCCATTTTTATTGTAATTTTTAAAATCAATAAATATACTATTATTTTGTTTACTTACATCCTACCTTTTTCATAATAAATATGTTCCTTTCCTATATTTTGTATTTAGTTGTAATTTACACAAATCTTTCATAATTATGATCAGAAAATTACATCAAAGAACGTTCAACATTAAAATACAATATTATAAGATTTAATCAATCCCGACAATCAAATTTCAAACCGACAACTATAATCCCGACAATATCAAAATTCCGAACATTTTTGCACATTTTTGTAATCTTTCATCTCAATTCGTGAAACACATTCAACTTTATTACTGCCTTTTTGTGACGAAATTATTTCGCAAATTTTTATTTTTGCAAAGATTTTAATTAAGTCCGATAAAACACAGGTTTTACTCTAAACAATATAGAAAATTGATACTGTCGAGATTATGGTTGGCGGGATTCGACTGTTGGGATTTTGATCCTAACCGATACAAAGAAACCTAGAAATAATTCTTCAATGTCAGTATGAAATTGATACAATTATTAAAATTTACAACAACTTTACTAATTTTATTGCATTCCGGAATGTTTTTTTATTACGAAAATACAAAATAAGTGTTTGTTTGTTATATAACAACAATGGGTTGTTAAATTCATAACAGATAAGTAGAACAACGTACAAATAATATAATGATAAAAACGAAAAAATTAAACATAAAAATAATATCAAATCAAAATGTAAAAAATAATTTTTAAAAATATCTTCGAAAAACTAAACTAAATTGCATCGAAAAACTAGATTTTAAATTAAATTTTTTATTGAGTTCTTAAGTTTTTGAATCGTTCAAATCGCGCCCAAAACTAAGTCACCAGGAGAGTATCAAACGCAGGAGGTGTAACGGTTCTCCGTGCAATGTTTACATCAAAAGTTGATGACCTCTTCGAACTCGTGCTCTCCCGGTAGTAAAGTTTTTGAAAATCCCATTTAACACCATGTATTTGCAAATCCAAATTCGTTGTTAAACCAAAATATTTCAAATTTCAAGGTTATCTATCTAAAACATTTCAATTATACACTAAAATTGCATTAATTTTCAACAAAATCTCCATTAATATAGAATTAAAAACGAACTAATATTAAATTTATTTATATACATTAAATATTAACAACAAATATTACATTATGTATTATATAAATAATGTTTTTTTTTTAAATAAACCAATGATTAATACTTGGAAATAATTAATACGTAAATAATTTATAATAATACTAATAACTATATGTTATGAAACAATTATATAATTTAAACAAAATATTGAAGATGTATTAATTTTATAGCTGCCATCTATTATCGAATCATGCAAAGTATAATTAAAGTTGTTGAGCATGCGTTAGAAGTACTTCCTTTTCCTGCCTCCATTTTTCCAATTCGTTTTCCTTTCACTCTTGTGCCATGGCGATGAGTGGTTGTAAATAATATTTCTCTTAAAAGTTACGAAACACTTGAGGTATGTACAAATAACATAATTTACTCAATGCAATATTGCATAACTTGCAAGGATTCAGTGTATACACACCATTAATTTCAATTTGAAGAATGTACAAAACCTAACCACGTGGTTTTTGTATAAATTTTGTTTTGTATGATGATCAATCATGACGGTCTTCTGATACATACCTGATGAGAACCCCTTTCTCTAAACCCAATTACAATATCTGATAAAACTATTGCAATCCAGTATTCAATTTATTATTCTGTATTATCATGTGTATTAACGTAATATTTTTCATTGCAGATTGTTGACGAGCTCAGAAAGTTGGTAATGTTTCAAGGCGATAACTGATGTAAGTATAGCTCAATTGCTTGTATATAAGTTATAAATTTATCAATTATAATGATGATCAAACATGACGGTCTTCTGACACATATGTGATGAAAACCATTCATTCTAAACCCAATTTCTTGTCTGATTTACTAAAAAAATATATTATCTTTTTATAAATTTAAAAACGGTATTTTATAATCTTTATTCTTTGTTACAGGTCACTTGTTTAATAGACGCCGCTATTGTTGGAAAAATCTTTTTTTTTTGTAAGTATTTTAATTATGAATACAACTATTTGGATAAATATTTGCATTCAATTAATATGATTATATCATATACAAGACGAGTGTTCTATGAAGACAACTTTGTATAAGGCAGACTATGACAATTTTGCTGTTTAATATTTAATACGAAATTTCGTAAAGCATAGAAGCTAATGAACGTTTTTATTCCTATTTCAGACCACAACCAAATGGCGTTCTTATTTTTATCTATACTGACTTAGACGTGAATGTAAGTGTATTATTGGACAAAACAAAATAGAATTCCCATTACCCTCAATATGATTATATCATATACAATACGAGTTTTCAATGACGACAACTTTGTATAAGGCAGACTATGACTATTTGTCTCCTATCACATATAATTTTTGTTTGTATGGATGGAATTTAATTAGAAAATGTTATTTACAGAATACAGCCAATTTATTGACTCAATCACTGACTGACTGAATTATGATTTGAAGTAAGTTTTAATAGATTGATTGACGTAATTATTGTAGTTTCTTTTATATGATTATATCATATACAATACGAGTTTTCAATGACGACAACTTTGTATAAGGCAGACTATGACTTTTAACGTGAATAATCTAAAACAAATTGTTTGTAAGACGTTTTGCTAAATTATTGCTTTTTTTTTTTGCAGAGGTTCGTGGACGTCCCTATTGGTCTGTGGATGGTCTTTTGTTAATATTGACAACTCCATACTGATGAGCTCCATAAGAGCGAAACCAATCAATGTTATTGTTACTATTGTATAAATAAATATTTTATTTTTAGAAACTAATGAGTATTTTTTTTAAACATAAATATAATACGTTATTATAATAAAGTTCCCACATTATTTGTTTTGTGGGCATTGTATGGCGTTCACTAATAATCTACAGGTTCCTCCTTTACGAATACACCATTCGGATCTTCCGCCAAATTTCTTTTATCCGTTCGTCCTTTACCTACGTTGCACAAGTAAGCTTGCCATGCTCCACTCAGTTCATTCGAATATGACTGTTCTTTGGTATCCTCTGCAGATACGGTTGCAGAGTGCGACGCATTCATTTCGTTGATACGCACTGAATATCTGTCGAGGTTGCCCTGACGAGCTTCGAAGAAAATATCGTTTATTGCCTTCTTCGCGAACAACTGCTGATCCGGATTCAATCTCTTGAACTCCATCGCCCAACTTTTTCCCAAAATATTCGCTTCATCGTCGCAATCCGTTTTATCATAGTTTTCTTCTGTTGTGGATATTTCGAGACATCTGCTTTGAACTGCCGGACTCTTTGTTTGCGTATCCATCTGCACCTGATGAATTACCTGCAAATGATTCAGAGTTACTTAAAAAATCTTTGGAAATTTGTGAAGACATATATAAATAAATAATAAAAAAACATCAAAAAGTGTTGTTTTATAAAACATAATATAGAAGAAAACTTTGCTATCTGAAAGTGAGTTAAAGGCATAAGTAGAAGAATGGAGAGAGATGTTATTGTTTGTAAATGTAAAAGGGTGTCCAATTGCATAAAACTATTACATACTGTCTTTCTTGGGTTTTCTCTCTTCTTTGTAAGTGTATTATCATCACTCGATTCTAGTTCAGACATATTAGACCATTGATTCACTAAAACCCTGTCTGAATGTATTTGCCTATCATTCAAAATGCCTCTGAAGTGAGACACCACACTGTCACTGAAAAGGTTTATGAGACTGTTTGCTACTTCTTTGTCAGGATGATATCTTTCCACAAAACTTTGCACTTGACACCATTTCTCACACATTTCATAGATAAAAGAACTAGGAACATCCTCCCTTTCATCATCTACCTCTGAAGATGTTTCCTGCACCTCCATTTTTAACTGCTCCCTCTGAATCTGTTCCAGTTCTTCAGTGCTAAGATCTTTCCTGAACACATCAGCTTTTTCAACATTCAAGTGACAACTCTTTCCTACAACAACATCATCGATAACATCTGAAGGCTCAGTCTTAATGTTCTGAATGTTTCTATCATCTGCAAAGTCAGGCCACAATTTCTTCCAGGCATAGTCACTGAAATCTTCCACATAATTCTCAGCAACTTCTTTGTTTGCACTTGCAGCAGTCTCTCTAGATATGCCACTTCTCCTCTTAAATTTCTGGAACCAACCTTTGCTAGCTTTGAACACCTCAGTGTCAGCACTTGTGGCTGGGTCTTTCTTTAACAGATCGTCGCTTAATTGCCTCGCTTTCTCACAAATCATACCCTCAGAAACTCTATCACCAGCCAACTGCTTCTCATTTATCCAAATTAGCAATAATTTTTCCACTTGTTCAAGCATCTTTGGTCTCTGTTTGGTAAGTACTTTCACACCTTTTGCAACATCAGCTTCCTTGATTGCCACTTTATTTTTTAGTATTGTGCAGACCGTCGATTTCGGCATACCGAACTGCAAAGCCAGATCCGAAACGCGAACGCCGCGTTCGTGTTCGGATATTATTACTTTTTTCACCTCTATCGTAGTTCTAACAGTTTTCCTTTTTACTTTGTTAACACTATCCTTTTTCGGTTCCATTACTGCTTGATTTATACCGTAAGAAAGTGTACAGCAAATTCGAGCAGGCTACGATAAAACTGACGCTCTCCGTTACACGTCGTACGTTTCAGGTATCTGATTACCAGCTTGCCTGTTCGGGAACCGAAATTCAGTTCGGGAACCGACGCCTCAAAATGACGTGAACGGAATTCAAATATAATTGATCCATCATTGTGTATTTGTACTTATATTCAGTACGTTACTTCAGAGGAGCGTAAATAATCAAGTAAGTTTAAACAAAAGCGAAATGATATGGATAATATATATATCTTATACAACTCACCGATTCTTCAGCTATGGTATTGTTCTGATCACATAGATTTGCACATTGTTCTGGCACTTTATCATTGAGGAAATCCATGTATTTGAAATACCAAAGTTTCGATTTAAACTTTTTCCGCGCACCTGAATCCACGTGCGCTTTCATCTTCTTCAATTCCCGCCTGTGATTCGACCGAATAACATTTATTTCCTTTTTAACCATCTTTTTGTTTGCTAAACTATTTTTCTCTTTCAGCTTATTCACCATCACATTGTATGCCTGATTCTTCAAGCGGGAGTTCTTGTATTTCTGGCTATTCAACATCCATATCTCTGGCAGACTCTGGTAAAGTAGGATAAATTCCTTCCAAAATTTTTTTTCAGAGATGGACGTGATTTCATTCATCGTAACTGATATAGTCGTCGCAGTAGCTTTGTTTTGGTTTATACTTAGATGCAGAGACCAAACACAATGCTCATGGCACCAATGCAAAAATACTATTGTATACTATATGATACTATCTTTGACCACTGTGGCGGCGTAACCATCGAATCGAATAGTTCAAAGGCATACCGTAGCGAAGCGCTAAATAATTTACATTTTGAAAATTTCAGTTTAACTATTATTAACATATGGATAGTTATTTATAAATGGTCTTTAAAATAAATAAGATATTCTAATTATTTACATTTGGATAATTTCTAGGTAAATTATAAATTTATTATATAAATACAACTTGGAACATTTTTTGTTCTTCCTCCTGCTTCTTCTAGGAAGAGCCTATACCAATTTGTTCATTTAAATTAGGCAAATAATAACTAGTTTCTCTTCAATCAATTCTCAGAACAGTGTTTTTCAACTTTTTTTTAATTATTGCGCTATCTTTTGGTAATTTGCTGATTTATTGTCACCACTTGCTATGGTAGGCAATGTTCGGTACAGGGGTATCTCAATTGATGCATCTGTTCTAGACATTTTGTTTTAATCACAAACGATTGGTATACTTCGGATGCCTCTGTAAAGAGAAAAGAAGAATTTTCGTTTGAATTCGAATGAATTCGGTATCATTCGGAACCTTTCAAATTTTTATTTTGCGAAAAACAAAATTTGATGGTAGTTTTTTTTTAATTTGTTATTAACAATTGAAAATTTCGACATACAAAGTTAAATATTTACACCAATTTTCGACATTGAGAAGATTGCAGACGAACAGTAGCAAGTAAGTAATATTTGTATAATATATATAATAATTGTAATATTAATGGACTGCTAGGTAATTAATCTATTGCTTGAATTAATATAATTGAACCGTAATTAATAAATGTATACTTTTCAGATTGGGAACATCAGACACGAGGAAACGTGGATAATCTACGAGAAAGATGTATTAAACACAAGTAAACATGGACCATGTACGAGAAAGATGGATTAAACACAAGTAAACATGGATATTCTACGAGAAAGATGGATTAAACACAAGTAAACATGGATCATGTACGAGAAAGATGGATTAAACACAAGTAAACATGGATCATCTACGAGAAAGATGGATTAAACACAAGTAAACATGGACCATCTACGAGGAATATGGATTATACACGATGGAACGTAGACCATCTACATCCTACAACGTGGACAATACAATTTGTTAATATTATTCACAAATAAAAACATTTTTGTATTTATATATAATGTTTATACATACACACGCACTCGGAACTATTTGAAATGATTATTTCCGTTTGTTTCATGATAACAAAACTTTTCAAGTTATCCGTGATTATGCGTAAGTTTGTTTTATTTCGCCCATTTTTGTTTCGCTATTGTCAAGAACACAAGCAAGTAAGTAACATTTCTATTATTATTTTTATATGTATGTTTCTAAGTACAATTTAATTGTAATTTTAATTAGAATGGTTTATAATCAATGTTATTTCTTTAAACTCGATGGATCATACACAAGTAAACGTGAACCATCTATGAGTAGAGAGCATGTGGACAACATTGGAGAGGTAATTAATCTATTGTTCAATACATGTAAATCACAACTAATCAATGTCATTTCTTTAGACTCGATGGATCAAACATGAGTAAACGTGAACCATCTATGAGAATGAAGTACAGGACGTGGACCATCTATGATGATGAAGTATGTGCACCTTGGACATCTGTGAAGATGGAGTATGTGCAGAAGGACTATCTATGATGTAATATTCTTAAATATAAACATTTTTTATTTAAATTTTGTTTTATTTATTATTATTTATTTAACGTTGGTGTTAAAGTAATTATTTTTCTTGTTCCCCCCAACGTCGAATTTATTAACTGCGTATGCATGTGTAAAATATTTATTTTCTTAACGTTGGCAGAGAGCAGGTAACGCTCTTGCGATTTTTTTTTTATCAAGTTACTGAGCTACCCCAAGCTACCCCTGGTAGGCAATGTTCGGTACATCAACAAAACATAACCTCTAGTTTTTATTTGAAGCTGTTTATAATTTAACTAGTTTTTAGTCTATAAGTTAATAATATATAGAATAATGGAGTGCGTCTTGGCAAACGTCGAGAACATCAGGTTCGACATCGAAGTAGCGTTGGATGAGCAATATGGGGCTCTACCATTGCCTTTTCCTGGGATGGATAGTAAGTGTTTTCTTTTGAGTAACAGACTTAAGTGTTTAAAGCTTGATTTATATAATCCGTATCCTTTACAGAATCTATTGCTGCTGTATGTCAATTTTATGCCTCTCCATTGGGGTGCCAGAAGGGCCAGCATTGCCCATTCCGCCATGTCAGAGGAGATAGAACAATTGTGTGCAAACATTGGTTGCGTGGCTTGTGCAAGAAAGGAGATCAATGTGAATTCCTTCATGAATATGATATGACCAAGATGCCTGAGTGCTATTTCTACTCTCGCTTTAATGCATGCCACAACAAGGAATGTCCATTCCTCCACATCGACCCAGAGAGCAAAATCAAAGACTGTCCATGGTATGATAGGGGCTTCTGCAGGCATGGACCTCACTGCAGACACAGGCATGTGAGGAGAGTGCTGTGCACGAATTACATAGCCGGTTTTTGCCCAGACGGACCAGAGTGTAAATTCATGCATCCTAGATTTGAATTGCCTGCACCGCCCGACCAGAATCTCAAGGACATGAAGAAACCACCTGTTATTATTTGCCACTTCTGCGGTGAGCATGGGCACAAGGCTATCCACTGCGGGAAAATGTGCGTCGATTCCAACAATATCCCATTGGAGAACAACCATATGCACAACAAGAACGGCCATCAGTTGGACGGACAGAATCCGCAGCTCTTCCAGAGAGTTATGCCGAAGAAGTTGGAAGATGTGACTTGCTACAAGTGCGGCAACAAAGGTCATTATGCGAACAGGTGTCCAAAGGGTCACCTGGCGTTCCTCTCTCAGGCCAAGGCGCTGCAGGATCATCAAGACAATTGAATTTATATTATACAAGCATTTATGAAACTGTAGATAGTGGAGGGTGTATAATAAATTATTTTTTATTTAGTCTTTATCATATATATATACTTTTTTTCTTCATTTATTTGTTTTTTTCTTCTTTCTTGCATTTACATTCATTGTACATTACATTTATGGTTATTCACGAAAAATAATTCGGTTAATACAATTCTCTTTATATTTATATAATATATAAATATGCACAATTTGTTTTCAAAAAATATCTCATAAGCTACTTAGTAGAGTTCACATCTTTCAGACAGACTAGAGTTACAGTTTGTGTGTTGAGTATACACTTAAATCATTCGAAATATTAACAATATAAACCTAAAACAACGGCTTCATTATAATGAAAATAAGCTACACAATTATCACAGTCGTACAAAAATGTTAAATACAATAAATATTAAAAAGTAATTTAATTGTTAAATGAAGTCTATAAAATACTGATAGCAAAATCGGAAATTAGTGTAGTTTGGAAGCGGAAAGGAAAGTATACTTATTGTGTTTTCAATTTTACTAATGACAAATTTATGATTTCATACATATTGATTCATTTAGTACACAATATTTATATTATATTTGCACATAGAATTATACGATTATTTTGTATTATTTAAAAAAAAATACATTTTGGAATTGATAATATTGATTCGATTGTTTAACTCGCAAGATATATTATCCTGAAATACACTCGGTCCTCTTTTTATGCTGTTTTGAAGTTATGCGGTTTTTATTTCAAAAAGCATTTTTTTAAATAACTATTTTAGGCCATTTTGACACGTTTTGTCAAACCATTTCATCGAAAAAGATGATAATTCTGAACGAGCATTCAAGTTTCAACGCGTGCTTCAGAATTGAATTTCTGGATATCAGGAATTGTACAATAAAATAGCAAAGTTTAATCACTGATTTTATTGTCAAAGGGAAAAAATCAACATGCGAAGTTGAGACTAATTTTACTTGTGAAGAATCATTATCTTCAGGACATACATCTGATATGCTGACTATCTCTTCTAGTGATGAAAGTGATTTCGAACCAGTTTGCAAATTATGCCGAACACTCTCATATAGCGACGATAATTCTAAAGAAAAAAATGTGAAGAAAGATTAACTTTCATAAACATTTTCTGTATTTTTTTTTTGTAAAATTTTTCTGTATAAATTTAAAAGGAATATGTTAAGATTATATTTTTCTAAAATTTAATAAACTTGTCCATGATTGTTAACGTTTTTATAAAATTATGAATAAATATTTCAAAAAAAATATAGTAAGACTAATTATTTTTCTGAAATTTAATAAACCCTTTTTTAAGCGATTTTCGGTATATTGTAACTCATTGATTTAGTTTCATGCGGTTTTAAAAAATTATGGAACGTATCCTTTATTTTTAGACGTGTGTCTAGTCCTTTTTTGTGCGATTTATTTTTATACGTTTTCCTGTGGAACGTATCTACCGCATAAAAAGAGAACCAAGTGTATAACATTTATAAGTAATTGATAATATCTTTATCACCTTTTCAAATATCTCCAAAAAGTCAAAGATATCTTAATACATTCTTATATTATAATTGTTAAATTAATTTATTTAAGAAGACAAGAAAAACAGATGTTTCTTGAATAATTTTCTAACTGAATGTCATTTTTTATATTTAGGTACGTTAGATTGTCAGTGATATAAACTGTGATTTACGAATCATTTGCAAAATCGGTAAATTTTACTTTCCAACATAAAAAATAACAGCACATTAACTATTTCATCCTCCGAGCTAACCAGATTAAGGACATATCATCAATTCCTGAAATGCCGGAGGTTTAATTCCTGGTCTGCACGGCTCTGAGTTATTTTAGTGCGCGTCTGAGTAGATCGTTTAATTTGGAGGATAGTTTCAGTGTAATAGCTACATTCAACCTGGAAGTGGATGCTATCAATTTATTGTACGGACAACTATTACAACAATCGTATTTCCGTTTCTTAAAGACCAATAAACGCTCTGTAAATAGAAACTGTAGTATTGGTTCTCGTTCCTCGAACTCATTATACTGTACGAACCTTTTGTATCTTGTGTATATCTCTGTAGTGTAATTATCCATGATTTACCCAAATAAACATATAATCGAGCATCTTCAAAACATAATAATTACAATAAAATTTCGTTTTAAACAAATTCTGAATGAAAATTTGTGCGTTTCCATCATAAATTTGTCATCTTGCTTCGAATATATCGATGTAGATTTGTTATCTTCGATTAAATTGAGAATTAGTACCAGTTGAAACGAGATCCAGTGAACTCTACTTACAAAGTAAAAATTAGCTTTTTTTTGGTATCGTTTTAAGTAATATGCCAACGGCATAGTTAATAGTAATAACATAGACTTTTTTTTATATATTAATAATAAATATACAACGAACATCTTGAAGTAGATTAGTTTCTCGAAAGTTGAGGCAAAGTCTCCGGACAGTAGGCGCGTTTGAGCATAGAATTATTGCTGTATTAATGTAATTATTATTTGGACATCAAGTTGTTTCTGCAACGACGACGACGTCGAAGAGGAATTGCGTAAAGCTACCTCGAGCTACGTTAAATGGGACATCCAACTTTCGAGAAATACGTCTTCGCAGATTATAATAATATGTTTCATCACATGAACAGATTGTCTCTAGCTATATAAAGTTAGGGGATATGTGACACAAACATTATTATTATTATTTCCTTTTAAATTATCCACATTACATTTGCTTCAAATTTATATACCTTACATTCATGGTTAAAATTACCATTAAACATGATTATAGAAACCCGAAGGAGAAATATAGTGAAATAGGTAAGTAGATAAACAGAGTAAGAGAACAACATTTATCTCAAGTACATACAATGATTTCCTCTATCGTTTCATCCACTATATACGATTTTTTTTTATATTCTTATTAAAGTTACAATAGAGATTGTCGCGTTTTCAATGTTAGGCCATTGATTATATATTTTTTCTTTCTTTCTTCAGAACAAGCTAGGAAATGTTAAAATTTTATCCATTCCACATCTACAAATAGGTATACATATTATATATAGATTCATATAATATTATCAATATTCTTCAAAATATACTGTATATATATATAGTCTGCACTATTAATTCTTGTATCAAAAATTGTATGTATCTCATTTGATCGACTCGCAAAAATATGTCATGAGTAAAAACAAATTAAAAACCAAACAAGTTTCCAAAAAGATCTCAAACTATATTTCTTATTACATTTTGAGGGGAGGAAGGAATTCAGTCTCATCGCGTTTTGCATCAATTCATCATTTTCCATGAGCATTCAACTAAACATCCCCTACGTTCTTTCTTTATATCTTTACATTCTTTACTGAATCCTATTAAATAAAAATTGATAATACTAAGTTGATCATAACTGAAATCTAATTGAACGTTCCTATTTTTGATTTGCAACTGTAGTTTCTTGTAGTAAACAAGATTTTTCTGGTATTTGGATATTGGACATTGGAAAACAAAAATATTGAAAGAAACATATGTTGTTGATATATTTTTTGAAATTGATTATTTTGGTTTGGATGTAATGATTGTTTTTAAGAATATATAGATAGAATCAAGTATGTATACATGCAAAGCACACCAAACACATTTAAGAGTTCCAATGATGACATGAGAGCTGATTGAAAACAGTTTTGATTGAAGAGTGCAGTAGTATGAAAATATCTTATCAATAGCTTGTTTAGTTCACAACAATTTGAGATTACATTTTACATATATATATTTGTTTAAATCTATATACATTGGTGTATATCGTCTTGTTTTCTTGACACATTTAACACATCAAATACATTTAGTTTTCTTATTTTTTGTTGTTGCTCTTTGTACCACACAAACATTTAGTTAAATAATGATTATTGGTATTGATCATCCCATCAAACTAATGATTATGGCCCAGAAATTGTTTCATCATTTGAGGTTGTTTTCGCCCAAACGGAAAAGCGCTTTGGTCCATACTCCTTATATATTTTTTCTTTTGGTATTTTTTTTTTGAAAATATAATATATTTATGTATATATATATTTATCTCTTAAACCTTTTTCAACTACGCGAATCACATAAAAGTTTGTTATAAATATCTTCGCTATGCTAAATATAATTTGATGATTTTCTTCAGTGGTGTAAATAAAATCTTTTTTTGTCTTCTGCTCTTTACTTGTTTCAACTTGTTTATACATCCAAGAATACGAACGTTGCGCGAAGTGAAGAGCTTACGGGGAGTCATTGGAGTCTGATCCAAGGGAATGGATGGGGAAGAGCGGATACCAGCCGTTGGTGATGGTGGTTAGGGTGATCAGATCCAAAGAGATCTCGGCTCCTCCGATTCCTTGGTTGTGCTCGAAACCGCCCTGCCTCTCCCACAGCATGATGACCAGACTCCTGCCGAGGACGTCGCTCGCCTGGTACCTGAGGGTCTGCCGGAACTGCGGCTCGCAAGTATGCCTTACCACTCTGGTTTTCTTCTTCTGCAGCCATCGGTCGCCGATGCGAAGGTAGCACTTAACGTAGGTGTCCGGTGGGATCTCTCTGGGTGCTATGTGTCTGGCGCAGACGACCTCCACCTCGAGTTGACCTTTGGACATGAACAGGCCCAATTTCAGCTCCACCGGTCTCGTGCTGGACAACCGGAAGCCGCGCGGCTTTATCTGTCCCGGTCCTAGGTGCGGGGGCGACGTGCGCTCCGGACTCGACGGCGGAGACTCCCTCGTTTCCGGCACTTCCTTCACGCTGTCCTTCCTCGTCGTCGAAATGCTGGACGCCCCTACAAAACAAAGCATGTTAACATTGAATCGGCAGAATCGCATCATCGTGAAAACATCTTTCCTCTATCCAATTCTCTCTACAACTATTATGTAAATGATCTAGCATGGTCTCGTTTAATCCATAAGATAAATAAATGTATGTATATGTGTTCATATCTAAATATTGAACCGCATGATTTCATGAACTCTACATTCTCTAAAACTACCATCTATTTGACAAAAAAAAACACGTGAGTCTATTTCTTTGTTAATTATTTTTACCAATTAATTTTAACTAAGGATGCAACGAATGAAATTTTTATATAAGAAGTATTGCTAAGTTTTTGTCTTAAGAGATTGTTTGTGTGTTATACTTTACAAGTTTTATTAGATGAATTAGTTTCAAACTAATACACATTTGTTAGCACCATCTAAACCAAATAAACTAATACTACAACTATATTAATCTACATGTCTATTGGTGGTGACCAATAATAAACAATTATTTATATAACATTGGAAACCGTTAAATTTACCACCATATTTGCGTTTTTGTTAAGCAAATTGTAAATTATTTGATAAAAGTTGCCGTTGCATCCCTAATTTCAATTTGATCTAGAAATTTAGTAGATCGCTTATACTAAGAACACAAAATTACCTCCCTCCAAATAAAAATGTCATCGACATTTGTAAGATGAGGAAATAAATAAAAAAAAGAATACGAACGAAATGAAATATGTATGATTACATAAATTTGTTTTTTTTTTGTTAATGAAGAAATTTTGGAATTTTCTAATGCTGGCTGCTCGTTTTATTGCGAAACAGTTCATTTACATTTAAATGAAGTGCTGTTCAACAAAGAGAAGCGCGTACACTGACAGTAGTTGTAAAGGGAAGTCTCTTTGATGTGTTTGAGTGAGCAAACGAGAAACGGTGTCTAGGAAAGAGACAGAGAGAGAGAGAGTGGATGAGGATGCGGTAGGTGCATATCCGAGGATTGAGAATCAGAGATGTATGTTATATGCATAGTCAATGCATGGCGAAGTTATAAAATTAATTCAGACATCTATGTAACAATAATAATAATTAGGCAACATTAGGCGACAGCACGTGCTCACAAATTGGAAATCTTACCGGACGATTTATAGATCCGCTAGAGGTGAATAAAGAGTGTGAGAAGAGAAAGGGTATATCATTAGAAAAAGAGTGATACACATACACACAGAGAACAAACAAACACGGACGACGGTAACAAGAATTATAACAACAAGAGTAAGTGAGAAACCAAAAAGGGCATCTGAAGAGGAATTCGCCTCGAGGTAAGGAAAAGGGTTACTTACTTCTCTGCCTCTTCTCGGCGGTTAAGCTCATCGTTCTTCCGAGCTCGCCTTTGACCGCCTTCAGACTCTTCAGGATCTCGTCCGGATCCCTGAGCATCCTTGTGCAACTGCTCCTGCGTCTGTCACGGCTGTAGGAGCTCGGCGGCGGAACGGCCGGCACTTCCTGCTCCTGTTCCTGTGCAGACTGGAACGATGACCTCCTGGAGCCAGGCAAAGAACGTGAAAAGTCCTTTCCAAGTTGGTAGACCTCGACCTCGAGCTGTTCGGATTGCGAGGATCCTCTGCGCGAACCCCAGGCGTGATCTGGATGCAGGAGGCTGGCGCATTCTCCGATGGAGTCGACGTCGTCGGACACGCTTCTCTGGATGCCAAATTCGCCTCTTCTGCCGACTCCGGCGATCGATCCCCGTGGGGACGTGTGAGGTGAACGGCCCCGTAACTGTCTGGGATCCTCCAGTCGACACCAGACCGCACGATCATCCAGGAAAGCCTTCTGCAGCTCCACCGAGCACTCACCCAGAAAGGCGTGCTCGTTGTGTGGGATCAGATCCCACAGCGTGACGTCGAGGATGCGTTCCATCAGCTCGTCGCCCGGAACCCCTGGGAATGAGAGGTTGGCATTCCAAATTGGATTCTGGCTTGCAGGTGCCACCTCTGTTTGCAGACAATGCAGTTCCGTTCTGAAAACATACACATGTTCTATATAATATTACCAAGTACACACATCATATGTATATGTAACATACATAACTTATGATCTAATAGTTTAGTATAATCGCTGATACTGTCGAAATGTGTAATAGACATAAATTGAATTCCAAATGTTAAAATTTACATTTGGCTTATTTTATTTAATTATAGAAATTTTTGTTATGATTAGTATGAAATTGATTTACTTAGAAAATGTTATTTCTTTTATTCATATACTTTGATTTTATTTTGGATGTATTGTTATGTTTATATTTTTTTTTGTAAACTTATTACTTATTTTATTTAGGTTTAATACTTTATAGAAAATATTGGATATAATTTGTAGGGAACTGTAGGATATTTAGGTCGTTTCTAAACCCCACAAATTTCTAGAGAACTAGAGAACAACTTCGTCAACTGAATGGTAAGAACATCTAATGGTATGGCCTATCAAGATTCGTTCTTTGACATACCAACCAAATTAAAGGGTAATTTCTCTTTCCTGAACATTTCCTAGAAAATTATAATAACGCCCCACTAGGCATGTTAAAAAATAGTTAAGAATTAGTATTTTCGACAAATCCGGAGATGTCCTCATGCTCAATATGAAATGTTTGTTATATAAAACTAAAAACATGACTTACGTTAATGGCATCAAACAGATCCTGGCGTAGGCTTCAGGAAGACACCCGAATCCCAGAGTCTCGTCTCTTGGAGCCAAATCATCTGCAGCGAGGACCGCGACAACCAATTCCCTCCTCTCATCGTGGTACCAAACCTGCAGCTGCACTCTCCCCGAAACCGTCCTCTCGCGTGCAATCTGTTCCTGTTCGATTTCCAAATAAATTAAAACGTGTCACAAATACCTTTTTGTACAAACAACGAACAAACAGACAATAATTCAGGAAGCAACGAACACATGCTAGGATATATGAATCGAGGCACACTTTACACAGAGTCTAAAAAAAAGCGTCAAAGCTTCTATTCAGCAAAAATAAGTTCATGTACGTTTATATTCGTTCAAGACAGAGACATACACAGCGACAGAAAATAAGATTGTTTTTTTTTAAAGTGTGTGACCAAGTTTGAAAAAAGGAAATTAAAAACAAGAGAAAATGATGGATAATAATAATAATAGATCGAAATTAAAGATACATTTTGTATATTTGTATATATTAAATAGTCAGAGAAATAAATATAAATAAAAGGAAAACGAATGAAAGATGAAATAATAAAATAAAATAGTAAAAGTAAGAATCGTGCCAGTTGGGACAGAGCGGGATTCGCGTACCTAGAGAGTTTATTCCCGCGTAGTCCGCAGCTAGAGAGAAAAAGTAATAAAAAAAAAGTAGGGAAGTGTAGGGCTGCTCAAAGACCATGTATGTTAGTTTCTGTTAGTAGTTATTATTAATATATTAATATTATAAGTATTTTTTTTTGTTCTTTAATTGGGCACTAGTTACATAGACGGCACCTAGATATACATATGTACGTAAGTGGACTAATCTGTCCCAGCTGACACCAGAAAACGACGATACAACAGACGCACCGGACCGACATCACCATTACATATAGCATCACACATAGATCAATGGTGATTTCGATTTTGCGTCCCTAATTTAATATACAATGAAACACAACTAAAGATAAATAAGGAAACACACGGAACCAAGAACCAAAAAACGAAAGAAACAAACCATAAAACTATAAATATATATGTGTTATTATTATTATTAGTATATTTCTTGGATTATCTTTGAACAGTTTTAGCGTACGTATTTTCTTTCGATATTGTCTCCCACCAAAGCCGCTTGGGATCTCTTAAAGCCATCCTGAAGACAAAACTTCGGACGACAGTTTAACCCCAAACAAAGTATTCTTTTTAATATACTTTTCATTGTTTATATCCAATCTCTAATAGTTATTTACATCTGGTTATTATTTTTTTTATATAAATGAATTACACTGATTGTATACTTTGATATGTCCTAAACATATAGAGGATATTGGACAGCTTACAACTTCTTTTATCTCAAACAATGTAGCAAAGTAGCAAAAATCAGAAATCATAAGCAGCAAACACCCTGTATATTAATATATTTTTTGTATATTTCATCTTTTTTTTTAATCCAATAACATTTCATACATACTTAGCCTGGACAACTAGTTTCTTTCCTTTATTTATATTATTATTATTTGTTTTTTATATATGTATAAGTATATAACTAGCTACAACAATTTAATATATCTACAATATCTTATCCCAAAGGACATATTTACAAACACTATTTGCGAAAATTATAATACAACTACTTCATAACAAAAACATTGAACAAACACACAAGGGTTTCATCAACATATATATATTTTTCATTTTCTATGCTTTCTATTATTTCCCTCTTATGTACAGCGATGCTTTTGCTTTGTCCCGACTGCAACTGAGAGGCGAAAAAGGAATACAGTCCATCTTGATGATGGGCTCTAAATTTAAAGTTGAATGAAATTCAGGAAAGGCGAGAGATTGCCGTGTTTTATAAAAAGGTTTAGTTTTTTTTTGAATGCAACGTAAAATAATATCACAGAAATTTAGATCAGAGAAGACACACGTAAGCCAAGCAATTTTGTCATTATAACGAATCAAGTTTCAGTTTGAGACAAGTACGACAAATCAAGAGAAAGTCAGAGAATCGTTCATTTTATATTCGACTGGTGTTTTTTCATTCAATCGACTTAATCTAATCACCTACAGAGTAGAAAATGTGTTATACAAGTTTAGTTACATTTTACTTTTAGTATTATCATTTTAGTTACAATTTTTTCTACACATTGAATTATTTAGTTATGTGATTAATTACAACAAACACCGAAAACAATTACCATTTTTATCATCACCATCAAGGAAATCATGAAGAAAATGATTTTATCATATTTTTCTCTACAACATTATTTAATTTAGCTTTTAGTTTAGTCAATTAATAGTGGTATTTATTATATGCTTAATCCAATGAATTAGATTCATATTTTAACTAATTAAATACATCATTTACAATTTTCAAGTTAAATTAATTTAAGGTACAGAAATAATTTCTTTGTGATTTCCCATTTAACATTTTTTCTGATGATTGTTTATTATTATATAAAGCGTTTTACTTATTGTTGGTTATTTTTTTTTGTAAGGATTAGCATTTTTTGCAATTTAAATTTTGTAGTTTTATATTGTATGATTTTGAATGAAATGTAAACCATTTTCGTGTGATATGTTGAACTCGTTTCAATGTTGATCTTAGTATATGAATCCTTAAATGTTTTGTTTATAAAAAATCTAGCAAAAGCGTACATTTAGTCATATACATATATAGATATAGATATTTAAATATTATTATTATCATCAATATAAATGGTAATAATTCAGTCAGCGTTCAAGAAGTATGCTTTATTTCCAAAATGTGAATTCCCATTTAGATTTTTGTTCAGAAGGAAGGAGGAAACGAGGAACGAGACGTTCGAACACACTCACTAGTCTCGTTCCTCGTAATTTGCTGTTGTTTTTCATTTTAATTTTGTCTTCGGAGATTTTTGTTGTTGTTGTTGTAGTCATAGAAAAATATATTTACAGTCAACTAAGTGAAGTGTTTTAGAAATAGTTTCTCAGATAGAATATATTGATGTGGCGTATTGTGTCTGGATCGCATTGCTCTCTCGCTTTGATTGTACGTAAGTAAAGAACTAGTTGCATACAGAACGAGATTAGCTAGTTAGTTATTTATACCGGTGTCTTTGGGAGTTTCCTTCTCGTCGGCGACGATGGCGCCTTGTCCGTTTCCGGTTCTGCAAGAGGATAAGCAGGTGATGATCCAATTCAAAAAGATCGTATTGTTCGTTTTTGGTTGTTCAATATTGTTTTGCTTGTTCACTTACCGACGTGCAAAGCCGTGATGGCCGCGTCCGATGGCTTCCGGTTGATGCTCGGAGGAGGAAGCGGGTCGTCCAGAAGGTCGCACATCCTAAGATCCGTTGCGTGCTCCACCATGAGTTCGACCATGTCTCCGGTTCTGTCCATTATCGAGCATACTTCCTCGAAGGAACGGTCTATCAAGGAGACGCCTCCCCATTCGAGGACCTTATCCCCTTGCTGCAGACCACCCTTCTCTGCCGGACCACCGGGAACGGTCCAAACTATGTAGGCGAAGAGGCGACCGTCGGGCGCGGTTTTCCCACCTACAACTCGCATCCCGAAGCCACGGGCTGCAACAAACAAAAACGGAAATAAACTTCCACACGTTTCCAGATTAAGCGAGCGAAGTAATTACGCTTCCACTAATAAGATAATAATCTATTGATGTGAGAAACTTTCGCCACTCCGAACAAAAGAACCAAAGTTAAGATTCTGACACTAAATGGATGCCGCAGCGTGTTCGATGGAGAGGAAGCTCGAAGAAAATATTATTATGTACGAGAGAACAGTCAGAAAAACAAACATTTATTAATAGACGTCTGTTGTCTACTTCATCAAACAATTATAAGTTAACAATCTACTTTGGCTTATTCTAAATATTTTCAATAACAAAGTAAGTATAAGCTGTCAATTTCATGATATATGATTGTAAAGCTGCATGCACACTATCTATATATGACAACGTAATGATGACACGGATAAACGTCAGATTTTGACGTCTGTCATTCTAAATCAATGACATTGCGTTAAATGTTAAATGTTTTGAAGAATGTACATTTATATAGCTATTTTACTTTTCTTAAAAGGTGACAAAAAAAAGTTTGAAAACCTATGTTCTAAATCTTCATTATCGTCCATAAAAGATTACCATAATAAAATAAATAAGTATACAGTAGTGGTTGACAGTTTGCAGGATGACAGATGATATATAATATAGCCTACTTGTTATTCTCAATGCTATAAGTATCTGCCAATTACTACTAAATTAAGTTAGAAATATGCCCAAAGAAAAGTCACCTGAATCAGTTCAAATCAAGATAAATGTACAGGATTATATCTCCTCATTTTCATCTCAGACGCAATATAAATTGGGGGTTTAAGTTTTGCAGAGTATTAAAGAGTAGGAGTGAGTGGAGGGTTTTTCGCTGTTTGAAAAATGAAGGGAGACTAATTTTTCATTTCGAGAGTGTGAGAAGACGGCGTTTCGTTTGCATAGTTTATGGGTTCTAATAATGTGATAGAAGGAGGTGGGAAATTGTTATGGATCGTCCGATGTTAGTTTAGATTCGAGTGCCGGGGTCCGGGAAATAAGCTTAAAAACTTTCGGCGATTCATCATCGTCCTCCGTGAAATTTCCTCCACCGTTGTGGACCGAAAGCCAATTATTAAAAGATCGAGTGCCGACGTCGGAAAAGTTTTCGTTCGGCCGAGATTAGAATAATAGATTGTTTGTTTGCCTTTTGGGCATTACCAAATTTTGCTATTTAGTAACAAACAATATATTCACTTAATTTTTATATTAATATAGATAAAAGTTCTTGTAAAAACTCTGCTATATATTAAAAATTAAAACGAATATTCCAAATTCAATTTTAGCTACACAATTTCAATATTTAAATATATAATCTAATTAATTTATTTTTATAACTTAATATAAAACATAAAGTCTTTTGATCACAGTTTTTCTACCCTGACTATAAGATTTAACATATTTTAACATTCAGAAATGAGATATGTTGATTATATATATATTTTGTATATAAGTAATATTTCTTAGTCAAATTTCAATTACAAATGTTCTCAAGTTTATCTCTCCATTACATGTTTCTCCACATTTATCATTTATACTGTTTCCTCCATTCTCGCATTCTAATCTCGACCCAACAGTATAGTTTCGTGGTCTCCACATATTTGCATACATTATTATCCCAGTTCCGTTTGTATATACGTTCACTAATCTTCATATTTTCAGCACTTCATGTGACCTCAACAATATACAAAATCGGTTCTCTATTTCAGTTCATTGCCCCTTCTTATATACTTCAATTATAGATATATTGATACCCTGTAATACTATTTGTTTATACCTTAATATTATGAATTATAATTTGTATTTAATATATTTATTTAACGAACATTTTATTAATATTTTGTTTCATTTCATATATTTTTATTTAGAAGATTCAGAAACATTTTTTTCCTAATAAATTATTGTACTTAATTGGAAACTTAGAAAAAATATTATTAGTTTACTTTAGTTAAAAGTAACTTAAATTATTGATAACTTTCTTAGAATTTTATAATTTTAATACTTTGGTTTGAATGTTAATGAATATGATTAGTGAATATATAATAACAGTTTCATCAAGACTTACAAAGCTATAGATTACAGCAATACCTTGATTCAGTGAGTGCGGATTCACTATAGTCAAGTTTGAACATTTCAAATAAACTTAATTTTTCAATAAGCAAAAATTAATTGTAAAAAAATGATACACAAAATTATTATTTATACATATTTGATTGGTTTTCTTTCCTCTAAACAATCTCCTTTGTGCTGTTATAAAGTCCTCGATCAGTGCGGTTCTTAATAGTGGAACCAATTAGCTGCACTATTCGAGGTATTTTGTATTATACAGTGGTGCCTCACACAACGAACTTAATTCGTTCCAGGAGCAAGTTCGTTCGCTGTGCGAGGCGTTCGTTATGCGAGGCACCACTGTATATGAAATGTTATTTTGTAATGTATTTTTCGATAATTTATCAAAATTGTTTGTAAAATCCAAATATTTGTGTTTTGGAACATTTCCATTTAATCAAGTTTTCACATCTATTGATTATTCTATATGGAAAGGTATTATTTTATGGCTTTTAGTGAGTTTTGCAACGCTGTACTTTCGGACCATTCATGCACATTATTCATCTGCATCAGTAGAGTGGATTGAGCAATTGTTGATGAACATGCTGACTGTGCGATAAACTGTTAGTATTGATGGAGAGCGTGCTCAATGCGACAAAGCAACATTCGCGTTTGATGGATTATCCTTGTGTGATTGGATCCGGCCGATGCGAACCAGGTCTAATTAGGTGGGGCGGCAATGATGTAATTACATCAAGATGAATTCGGAGCGGCGCGGATTTCCGGGAGTTTATTTGGAGACGGCGGACATGATTAATCGTTCATTTAAGTATGAGGTGAGGTGAGGTGAGGGCCGTTTAGCGGCAGAAGATGTTCGTCTGGAATGGGTTGAAGGGTGTCCTACGGAGGTTTTGAGGCCGGAGAAGTTGCGGGGGCGCCAACGACGGTGGCGGCGGCGGCGATGGAAAATATAAATGGGATCGACCGGATGGATCGTTGCGGCCTATCGATCCGGAATACATGTACAACCGTACCATCTTCTCATCCCATCAGAGCCCAGACGTGAACACCATTCGCCGCCGCCGTCCTTTACAGTCAAAACCACCGCCCACCTCCCCTCAGCAGACGGCTAATTTATGAATGTGCAGGATTGACCTGTTGCGAACGAAACGCGAGACCTGTTGAGTTCGCTAATTTACCACCGATAGACGTCGACGATTATGTACACACGTATTAAAGATAATGCGAAACCGACATGTAATTCGTTATACTTAATCTTTATCAAAGCCGAAACATGGCCCAGGCGACACCAGACCCTCATAGAATCTAACACCATTAACGCTCTCTTCGCATTCAACATAACTTGCAGACTTCCTCATAAAACTTTCATGCTACACCCAAATTTATATTACATATCGAATTTCTATCTCAACTATCAAAATTTGATACATAAGTAAAATCATAAGACACTGTAAGAAGATAGACTCATATATTTCCTGGTTGTATACTAAAGAAAATTTTCTACAGAAATACCATGGTATTTCACTATATTCTATAGATAGTTTACTAATAAAGAAAATAACACATTTTTAAATATTTTACTATATGTGGGTGGATGCAATAGTATGAGGATAAAAATTATTTGTTAAATTCATCTACGAATATAAAATAAGATATGTTGTAATATCACCTAATACAGAAAACTTACAGATTTCTTACTCAATTTTAATGAAATAATAACTGAAACAATAAAATTAACTAAAAAAATGGTTAAAAAAGTAATTTTCACTTTCTGTTAACATTTTTGGGGAAATTTATATTTTCTTTGCACAAAATTACTCTTAGCGCTGTAACTAAAATTTTTAATGATTTTGTACATAAAAAATGAGCTATTTAGATATTCATAAATATCGAGAAGTTTTTGTCTGGAGAACCGTGTCAAGGTGAAGAAAAAGTGGACGTAACAAAAAATCACGAGTGATTTATAGGAAATATAAAATAGAGACAAAATGAACCGTACGGATCTCAGTCGGGCTTTAGCTTTGTCACATTGAATCCTTGTCAGTTATATTAATGTCTTTTAAAAGAAATTCCTTTTGCCTCTGGATCGAGACTTCAAAACAAAAAGTTGTTTCATAAATCAATTTAATTAATATTTAGACGTTTACGGTAATACCACCAAGTTATTGATTTTAAATCCAATATTTTTTTTTATAAATAGACATTTACGTCATTCATTCATATTCACATATTTGTTTATAACAAAAGAAATCTAAATGAAAATCCATAATTGACTAATTACTATTGACAACTTGTAACAATCTAGTTTTTTTTTTAGAAAGTTTCTTTTGGAAATATACCAAAATCATGTTATTTTCAATGGAAAAGTATGATTTTATTCTCAAATATATCTAGTATTTAGTAC